CAGCCAAGCATCGATCATCATGTCACCAGAATAAGACCCTCGATATTTATTGGAAAGGAGCATCAAGCTCATCACCGTGCACTTTCACCACCCTGTGAAGTTCATCATAACTTATTTCATCTGTAACCTAATAAACTGCATGCTTTCCCGAGTTGTAGTGGGAGGACCACACAACATATCATCACGTAACTCTAAGTTTACTTCAATATGATGGTTATTATATCAATATTTGCGCATAAAGACGTTTCCACCGCCATTTCTCACATAATTCATTTTACCGACACAAAAAGATCCCACCATGTCGAACGAACAAATTGTCTGTCAGCATTTATAAAATTGTACCGGCATTTCCTGTTTCCATCAGCCCAGACTTTTTAATCAGCATGAAATGGTTGGATGGAAACGTGGTTACTGTAATAGATTTCCATTAAAATGGGCAAAAATTGCTTTTTAGCAACAACAACAAAAGTTCTCAAATAAGAATTTTGCTAGGACTGTCTGGGAGTGGTCTGAGTGGGAAGGGGAAAGCTGAAAACTATCTGTTATTGGCAGAGGTTTGGAACTCTCTTTGTTATTGGTCTATTAACCAATTTACCACATTGTGATGTCACCATGGAAAGCCGAAACTCCCACCCATGCAAAACCTGCTGATTAGAAGTTGCTTTGCAGATTGTATTTTCAACCAGCAACTATTGTTGAATAACACAGATTTTTTTTAAATGTCACTTTTACAGTGTTAGTTTCATCAGCTGTTTTACAATAGGATAAAAAACACAGGAAAAACATATTTTTGACTGCACTGGGCCCATAATACAAATCCTGTGAATTCAAGAGTTGAGAAAAAACTATTCTAGGTTTGCTGCAAGAGTAAACCAGTCTGATTCTACACTTAAACCCCTAAATGTCTGCTTAGCTACGGAAAGAAGCATTGCTGTTCCAAGGCCTGCAGACAGGACTTAATGGAGAAGCAGCATTATTATCCCAAGAAGGAGGAGCAGGTGTATGCTGAATGGATACAGAAGTGGTTCACTGCCCACTGACAAAATGGATTTAACTCAGCTGTGGCCCCATAGAGGAAGCAACAAAGGAGACTTAAAAGCACCAATATGACATCACGTCAAATCAATTAAAGATGGTGTGGATATTTTTAATTATATAGAAAACCGGACAGGCACTTCTAAATGTTAAAACATAGTGTAACAAAAATATGATATGCCTGCGCAAAGCAGTTATTTTACTGATGGCCACACTTGTACAATGCAAGCTTCTACAGTAGCATATGCGTAACTCAATGTGAGCCAAGATTACTAATGACTCCAGTGTAAGATTAGTCAACGGGGCCTTTATGAGCGGGTCCTAGTTCATGCGCTCCATGTGTGGCGGTTCCCCACGGATTGTTGTTTTATTTCAATGGAAAGGAGAGGAAACACACAAAGCACAGTGTCCACACTGAAGATCCAGAGAGTAACCATGGTACCGTTTGTCTCACTCGTCAATGGGTTATCCCGCCATTCATTTAGTAATTTTACTGTATCAATATTTAGGCTTTCCAAATGTATTAGCCACTCCGAGGGGATTTTGGCACTGTTCAAAAATAAATTAGTAGTGGCTCAATACTTTAATTGTTTTCTTACAGTGTTAGACAATCCCTCTGCATGAGCTGTCAGGTGATGATGACAATGAGGGGCACAAATGCATATAGGCCTATCTCTGACATAGGCTACGTCTGATTACTATAGAGTACTAACCTAACGTAGCATTAAGCAAAACAAATACAATCTTATGTGACTAATGGAGAAATTCGAGCCACTAAAATATTCTATAAAAATGCCCCCAATGAAAGTTGCGGGCGTATAAAGCCAAGAATCGTGCAGGAACAAGTTTTTATTAGTCTAATGATTGTCACAAATCAACTTGCTGTATAGTTAATTCAAACACCTGTTCAAAAAATTATGAAATGTATCCAGACTTACCTGACACCTTGCTGGCTATCAATCCAAGATAAATTATAGAAATACCACTACTGTTGAGGATAGCATCGATAACTCCTATTAATAATCTCCCAAAGTTTCTGTCAGATGACATTATTGGTCAATGAATGCATCTTGATACTCGTAGCCTACTCCAATTATTGGGGTGCTCTTGACAGCTCTCAGTACCCCCAGCGAACAACCACACATAAAGCGTCACACTCGTGACGGAATATGGTAAATAACTAACGGTATTTCCTCTATGTATAAAACGGTGTAGTGCAATCGTTTTTTGTTCAATCCATCTGACTGCTCAAGGGTTCGCTGAGAGAAAGAACATACGCAGCCATGTCGATCAGCCTCACTACTCTCTAAACAAAACTACTATGCGGACTCCCCGCATGTCGAGGGAAGGCAAAATGGGCTAATCTTAATCGCATTTGCCTCGGGGAGCTCGACAGAAGTAGCGGACAGCTCCACCCAGCGAACCGTTGTCCTTATACCCAGCTATTTCGATAGGCCTAGAAGTGCATGCTCAAAATGACCTGAGGTTCACCATAAAGAAAAGTGACCATTAAGTTTGGGATTCAAGTTTATTGTTACAATGATGTGTAGATTGACATGTAGCGTAATTTGTTTCTTCCTATTAATTCTGAAATGTTCAAATTTGTCTCTTCCTATTAATTCTGAAATGTTCACTAAGAAACGTCTTAAAGGTGTTCCTATAGCCTAGCAGCCCCTAACTGGCACACTCATTGCTACAGATCACGTTCATTAGCCTTACCTTACAATGATCAAATTCCTCCAATTGTGGACACTTGCACTTGTTCATTTTCAGAAGAAAAATAGTCAAGTATAATTTGTAGGCCTCTAGACCTAACACTTTAAATACCATAGATAGGAATTACAAAAAGAATAGCCCTATCAATTAATGTGTTCAATTACGCTCAATAAGGCTACTATGAAAGGGGCCAAACTAATTCGCCCCAATCATAGGCCTAGCCCGTGGCCTAGCCCGTGGCCTCTGATAAGGAACAGCACTTGCGCCATCTAGTGGTTTCAACTAGTTACCACAGCCACAAAGTCAAAATGGGCTATATCGTAGAAATTCATGAAAACAAAAATGTGCTTTTTAATTTAAGGTTGCGGTTAGACATAAGGTTATCAGTGTGGTTTAGGTTACGGTTAAGGTTAGGTTTAAAATCACATTTTAAGAAGATAAACTGTAGAAATGGGCGTGATTTATAACGCTGTGGCTGTGGTAACTAGTGAGGACCCCGTCTAATGCAAGAATTGGAGTTCCTATCCACAACGTCATCACGTTAGTATTCTGTTGACGTGGCGTAGCTAAACAAACGAACGCCAGTAAATCGATGGAAGAATGGATGTACCTTAGGTCGTCGACGGAACAGTGCTCATGTTTTCAGGTAAAGTCTTCGTGCTTCATGACTTTTAATTTGCAAAAATTAACACGGGCCTTTACCAGCAACAATAATCGACACTTAGGGTACAGATGTTAGCTTGCCAGCCTAACTAATAGTTAGCTATTTTAGCTAACTAGCTAGCTACCTAACGCGTAGGTATTTGGCAGCTGCCTCAGTCAGTTGGGCTACAAAGTGTTTGGTTGCTTGCGTTTTACTAATGTAGTTGACTGGTGTGGTTGTTCGTGAGAGCACAATGTACGTAACTAACTAACGTTAGCTAGCTAGCTGGCAAGTTGTTTTCCCGCAGATAACCCATTCAAATAGACGGTAAACTTTATTAAACATTAGGGAGGACTGCTGTAAACTGGATATACCCCACTTGGGTTCTCAGATAGCTAGTTTAAGGTTAGCCAGAGAGCTAGATAGCATTGACCTCTATGCTCCGTAACGTTATGAATTGGCATTAATTATACTGAACAAAAATATAAACACAACATGTAACTTAAAGTGCTGGTCCCATGTTTCATGAGCTGAAATTAAAGATCCCAGAAATGTTCCATACGGGGAACGTTTTTTTCTCTCAAACTTTGTGCACAAAGTTGTTTACATCCCTGTTAGTGAGCATTTCTCCTTTGCCAAAATAATCCATCCACCTGACAGGTGTGGCATATCAAGAAGCTGATTAAACAACATGATCATTACACAAGTGCACCTTGTGCTTGGGACAATAAAGGCCACTCTAAAATGTGCAGTTTCGTCACACAACACAATGCCACAGATGTCAAAAGTTGAGGGAGCGTGCAATTGTCATTCTGACTGCAGGAATGTCCACCAGAGTTGTTGCCAGAGAATTTGTTAATTTCTCTACCATAAGCCGCCTCAATGTAGTTTTAGAGAATTTGGCAGTACGTCCAAGCGGCCTCGCAACCACAGACCACGTGTAACCACGCCAGCCCAGGGCCTCCACATCTGGCTTCTTCACCTGCGGGATCGTCAGAGGAGGAGGTGAATTAACGTTAGTCTGGTTCTTTTGCTGTGACTGTTAACTTAGCAAGTTAACTAACGTTAGCTAGCTAGCTGTGACTTCTGCTTAAACTTTAGCCAAAGCATTTTATAACTAAGATAGACCACAGCCTGTCGTTTTCAATGGGAACAAATGAGTCATAGTAGGCAGAACCAAGCACAAGCTAGCGTGAACCTATTGGTGTGTTCTAGTAAATTTATGTTTGAGAACTCCAACTCTTTACATTACAGTTTAGTCATTTAGCAGACGCTCTTATCCAGAGCGACTTACAGTTAGTAAAGTGCGCGTGTGCAATATATCAATTAGCCTTTGCACTCCTTCTAAACAATGTAATTTTTTGAAACTTTGGCAAAGGGTAAAGTCTACAAAACTTTGTCCATTCTATTCAGCACAGATTTTAGTTTTGGGAACAGAAAACTGCATTGAGATCAAATATTTCATTGAGAATTTGCAGAATGTCAGCCAACATCCATGTCGTTCCATCTTCTCCCACTGCCGGCCAATGGGCTTCCTCTCACTACCATATTTGGTAGTAAGTGGAAACGCCAAGCGGAGGCTTCACATTTATACGTCCAGTGAAATATCTGTGTCATTGTTCTATCTGTGCTTTAGCCCTCTGAACGTTAGCCAAAGTTTATCATGATATTATCTGACAAAAAGCTGTCACATCAGCAGCTGATGTTCCTCTCTGAATGTCAAATGGAAACAAACGCCAACGTTAGCTACCGGTTATATAAACAAGGAGCTTCAGTACACTGCAGTCTCCCAGGCGTCTATCTTATCAGTCAGTACAACTGGCTAAACGTACAAAACTGGACTTTAATCACCCCTATGAAGATCATTCAACTGGAAGAGTTGGACTGAATGCTCTGTTCTTCACATGCAAGAGACTTCAAACGTGCAATTGCAAATGCATGTGAGATCTTGTCTATATTGAGTGTAAATTCATGTAGGCTAACTAGCTAGGTGTACCTTTCAAAACAAGCTGATATATACTTTGCTAATCCATCTGAAGCTTTTAACTGTAACTGAAGCTGTTGTATAGCTATCAATAACAATGTCTCGCTCCTCTCTTTGAAGTGAAAAATGACTGGGAGAAGCCATCACTATGGTTTCCAGTCAGCCACGACGATGCAGCCTGCCAATGGAGGACATGCCTACCTATTTGGGAACAGCGCTGAGAACGATCTCTCTGAGGAGGATGGAGAGAGCTACGATCTGCGCACCCGAGGCCGGGACCGGAGGAGCACCTCCAGGGAGAGGTCAGATGACATTGTCCACCTGGTCCGAGACATTAAAGAAGGGGACACTCTGAATAGCTTCTCCCTGCAGTACCACTGCTCAGTAAGTCAACCTTAAATCCCTGTCTTACTCTCTAATGACAAGCCCTTTCAGACAGACCGGACATGTAGCTTTGACTTCTTACACTACTTTTTTGCAACACAAAAGTAAAGTGAACTTTGTTATGTCTCTGTGTATCGTAGGTAGCAGACATCAAGAGGGCCAACAACCTGTTGACAGAGCAGGACTTCTTTGCCCTGAGATCCATCAAGATCCCTGTGAAACGCTTCAGCGTGCTGACGGAGACCCACAACACTGCTCCTCGCAAATCTGCCTCCCCCACAGTCCCCCGACGCATCCACCAGCCCCCCATCTCCACAGAGACTTCCACAGACTCCTCTTCCTCCTCGTCCACAGACAGTGTGGGCAGCTTCCTGCAGGAAAAGGACAAGGACATAGAGCTGCTGGTCAAGTCCACTGGCACCTCCAGAAGCAGCCTGAACGAGGTGGTCTCCTCCCTGACCCTCCAGCAGCCCTTACTACTGGGGGAGCCTGACTTCAAGCCTGTCCTCAGGAAGGACCCCTACCATGGGGCAGACTGGGGCATGAGGTGGTGGACGGCGGTGGCCATCATGGTGGTGGTTGGCATCGTCACACCAGTGTTCTACCTGCTGTATTACGAGGTGCTGATGAAGGTGGATGTGAGCCACCACACCACCACGCCGTCGGCCAATCCCAAGGGCATGCAGCATGCCCAGATTCCTGAGCCTGTGGCAATCAATGGAGAGCCCAACTCAAGACCTCAGGCTGGAAACATACCTAAACCAGACTCACATGGACACAGTGATGTGGATGGCCACCTTGACCCCAAGAAAGAGAAAACGTAGTGAGGGTGAGAGTCACACTGAAGGAGTGGGAGATATTTCTGAGCAGTTAAATATGGTACAATCTCTCTGAGAATCACTTAATGGGGAACAGAATCCATTGGAAAATGTATAATAATTTGCCATGGACATACAGAATTAATGTTTTAAAAAAATGTTTTTAAAGCACTTTGTTTTTTGCACAGAGGTACCCAACTGCTTATTGTCCCTTTTTGTCAGCTGATGGGACTGTTTCTACCATAAAGCTGTCTACATGGTTTGTGCTATCTGGGATCCTTGGGACACCCCTACCCTTAACCCCTATATTTTACCATAACCCTTACCCATATTACATTTTAACTTTAATGGGTTGATGTCAGAGTTGGACGTCCCAATGATCCCGGATAGCAATGACCCTGTCTAAAGTGAGGGTTAGTTTCTTGGTCAGAAAAGTACTGATTGCTACCACTTATCATAGAGAATACTTAATGACAGTAATTTGAGGAATATTGGTCTTATACTTACAATATCAGTATTGTCTAAGATGTGTTGCAAATAATCTTGAACATTGCTTGTATATATTTTTGCCTGTCTAGGGAGAACTGCATTTTGACTCACAAAACCTGTATCTCTACTTAGGGCATGGTGACAACAGGAAATGCACAATATTCCCAAACACTAGCTAGCTAAATTCTAGTGAAATGTTATTTTAGTTCCTTTTCCCCATTATGTCCATTTCATAAAATCAGTATGTGCCTTCAACCTGTGGAACACTACAACAGACTGAAAATAAAGTATTTTGAATAAATTATTGATGCTCAGACTTTGCAGTGTCTGCATGCTTCAGTGTTTAATTTGTTTATACAATTATTTACAAAGAGCCACTTACAGTATTTAAACTCCAACCACACATGCACATCTTGTTGATTCTCTCATTGTACATGTAGGTTCATAAAACAATATGTAAACTTGATGACAGTGTTAGTCATACAGCCAACAGCTATTTGGTAAATGCTAAATCATGATTTGCAGGGGTGAAACATTTGGAAGAGTGACAGTCAACATTATTTTGGCTTTTTAAATACTGTATGCTCTTGAGATAACATCCATACAGTTGGAGGTTAATATGTGGCTCCTTCATCCATGTTCTCATCACTGCCTGCACCAAAATCATCCCCATCTTCAAAGTAACTGGCAATGTAGTCATTTTCCTACAAAAAGGCAGGTGTTAATTGTGACATTTGTCTATTAAACCCCATTGGTGTGTGAATGGCCTTACAAAAAAAGATTGCCGTTTTGAAACTGCAGTAAAAGTGCAGTAACTGCAGTTGACGGTGGTATTTTGGATGCAGTAATTGCAGAATAACTGCAGTGTATTGCAGATATACTGCACTGTAATGCAGTTACACAGAAATTACTGTAATAACAGTTATTTTGGACGCAATATTTGCAGCATTGAGCAGTTTGACTGCAATCTTGTTTAGTAAGGGTGCTATGTGCATAGGTACTGTAGCTATTCAATTTGTAATTTATACTGAACAAAAATATAAAACGCAACATGTAAAGTGTTGGTCCCATGTTTCATGAACTGAAATAAAAGATCCCAGACATTTTCCATACGCACAAACTGCTTATTTCTCTCATTTTGTGGACAAATTTGTATACATCCCTGTTAGTGATCATTTATCATTTTCCAAGGCAGCAGCTACTCTTCCTGGGGTCTGGCAAAATTAAGGCAGTTATACCATTTAAAAAACATTACAATAAATGTATTACAGAATTCACAACACACGCCCTCAGGCCCATACTCCACTACCACATATCTACAACACAAAATCCATGTGTACGTGTGTGTATAGAGCGTATGTTATCATGTGTGTGTATGCATGTGTCTGTGCCTATGTTTGTGTTGCTTCACAATCCCCACTGTTCCATAAGGTGTATTGTTATTTGTTTTTTAAATCTGATTCTACTGCTTTCATCAGTTACCTGATGTGGAATAGAGTTCCATGTAGTCATGGCTCTATGTAGTACTGTGCGTCTCCCATAGTAACGCCAGGGTAGTGGGTTCGATCCCCGGGACCACCCATACGTAAAAATGTATGCACGCATGACTGTAAGTCGCTTTGATAAAAGCGTCTGCTAAATGGCATATTATTATTATTATAGTCTGTTCTGGACTTGGGGACTGTGAAGAGACCTCTGGTGGCATCTCTTGTGGGGTATACATGGGTGTCTGAGCTGTGTGCTAGTCGTTTAAATAGACAGCTCGGTGCTTTCAACATGTCAATATCTCTCACAAGTACAAGTAGTGATGAAGTCAATCTCTCCTCTACTTTGAGCCAGGAGAGATTGACATGCATATTATTAATGCTTGCTCTCTGTGTACATCCAAGGGCCAACTATGCTGCCCTGTTCTGAGCCAATTGCAATTTTCCTAAGTCCCTCTTTGTGGCACCTGACCACACGACTTAACAGTAGTCCAAGTGCGACAAAACTAGAGCCTGTAGGACCTGCCTTGTTGATAGTGCTGTTAAGAAGGTAGAGCAGCACTTTATTATGGACAGACTTCTCCCCATCTTAGCTACTGTTGTATCAATATGTTATGACCATGACAGTTTACAATCCAGGGTTACTCCAAGCAGTTTAGTCACCTCAACTTGTTAAATTTCCACATTATTTATTACAAGATTAAGTTGAGGCTTAGGGTTTAGTGAATGATTTGTCCCAAATACAATGCTTTTAGTTTTTGAAATATTTAGGACTAACTAATTCCTTGCCACCCATTCTGAAACTAACTGCAGCTCTTTGTTAAGTGTTGCAGTCATTTCAGTTGCTTTAGTAGCTGACGTGTATAGTGTTTAGTCATCCGCATACATAGACACGCTGGCTTTACTCAAAGCCAGTGGCATGTCGTTAGTAAAAATTGAAATAAGTAAGGGGCCTAGATAGCTGCCCTGGGGAATTCCTGATTCTACCTGGATTATGTTGGAGAGGCTTCCATTAAAGAATACCCTCTGTGTTCTGTTAGACAGGTAACTCTTTATCCACAATATTGCAGGGGGTGTAAAGCCAGATTATGATCGATAATGTCAAAAGCCGCACTGAAGTCTAACAAAACAGCCCCCACAATCTTTTTATTATCAATTTCTCTCAGCCAATCATCAGTCATTTTGTGTAATTGCTGTGCTTGTTGAATGTCCTTCCCTATAAGCGTGCTTAAAGTCTGTTGAATGTGAGTCCACATACTCACATAGGCAGGAGCTGCTTTCAGGAACTCAACTGGCTGCCTGTTGATGCTAGGGTGTCCCAGAATAGACTGGGTTTGGTTTACAGGAATATTTATGGACAGCTGATAAAACTGTGGGTTTGCACAACCAAATAATTTCTGCACAAACTGTCAGAAACCATCTCAGGGAAGCGCATCTGCGTGCTCGTCGTCCTCACTAGGGTCTTGACCTAACTGCAGTGGGCAAATGTTCACCTTCAATGGCCACTGGCATGCTGGAGAAGTGTGCTCTTCACAGATGAATCCCGGTTTCAACTGTAACGGGCAGATGGAAGACATGTATGGCGTTGTATGGCGTTGTGCAGGCTAACGGTTTAATGATGTCAACGTTGTGAACAGAGTGCCCCGTGGTGGCGGTGGGGTTATGGTTTGGGCAGGCATAAGCTACAGACAACAAACACAATTGCATTTTATCGATGGCAATTTGAATGCACAGAGATACCGTGACGAGATCCTGAGGCCTATTGTCGTGCCATTCATCCGCCACCATCACCTCATGTTTCAGCATGATAATGCACGGCCCCATGTCGCAAGGATCTGTACACAATTCCTGGAAGCAGAAAATGTCCTAGGTCTACCATGGCCTGCATACTCACTAGACATGTCACCCATGGAGCATGTTTGGGATGCTCTGGATCGACGTGTACGACAGCGTGCTCCAGTTCCCACCAATATCCAACAACTTCGCACAGCTATTGAAGAGTGGGACAACATTCCACCTGCCACAATCATCAGCCTGATCAACTCTATGCGAAGGAGATGTGTCGCACCGCATGAGATGAGGCAAATGGTGGTCACACCAGATACTGTATGGTTTTGTGATACACGCCCCTACTTTTTTTTTTAAGGTATCAAATTAATTTATTGCAATTGACTGATTTCCTTATATGAACTGTAACTCTGTAACTCAGTAAAATCTTTTAAATTGTTGCATGTTCCGTTTAAATTTTTGTTCAGTGTATATTGCATATTGTGATCTTCATATTGTCATTTATCATACCCAGAAACCATCTGAGATGTCTCAATACCAAGTTCATTGCATGGAAGTGTGTCAGCGAACAATTTGAAATACAATACATTGTGCGATAGAAGTTGACTACTAAGGATGATTTAGATCAAAATTGGACTTTATATTACAACTAGGGGGGGTTACCTCTTCTAATTCCTCCTCGTCCAACTCCTCTCCTTCAATTTCTTCCTCCTCTCCTTCCTCTGTAGTTTTCTTTTCTTCTTTCTCCTCATCTGATTTGACATCATCTTTCTTTTCAAGTTCCTGAAGAAATAGCAATTTTGTATGACTATCCAGATATACAAACAGCTTTCACACATAAAACATTATATGATGGGTATGTTCATTTTATCATTATACAAGTCAATGTTATCAGGCTATTAGAATGTCATATCTGAATGTACAGATAATCCCAACCTAGCCCAAACCTTCATCTCCAGAGATTGGGTGTTTTAAAATAATAAATCAATTTATATAAGAAGTGAAAAGGAATAAAGGTGATGAAAGTGACTTACATCTAATTTACTGAGTACATCTGATTTTTCTTTGCTTGACACCTTTATGGGTTTCTTCTTTGCACCTAATAATATTACATTCTTTAGGAAATATAGCTATTAGCATAACATCATAATGACATAATTGAAATATAAAAAAAGATATGTTTGATTATCATTACACAAACTTTAAGTACCCGGTTTTACATTCAACTTTTTCTTTTGAGGCATCAGTTCTTTTGGAAAGAGCTGCCAGTCTGTAATGACAAACAAGGGAGAAGTTATATTAAAATAAGTTAATAATATTGGAAATCAGACTCAGGTTTTGTTAAAGGGGCAGTGCAGTCAAAAAACGAGATTTTTCAATTTTTTAACGATATTTATTTCCACACTATGAGGTTGAAATATCACTGAAATTGTGAAAATGATGATACAGTGAGGGAAAAAAAGTATTTGATCCCCTGCTGATTTTGTACGTTCGCCCACTGACAAAGAAATTATCAGTCTATCATTTTAATGGTAGGTTTATTTGAAAAGTGAGAGACAGAATAACAACAAAAGAATCCAGAAAAACGCATGTCAAAAATGTTATAAATTGATTTGCATTTTAAATGAGGGAAATAAGTATTTGACCCCCTCTCAATCAGAAAGATTTCTGGCTCCCAGGTGTCTTTTATACAGGTAATGAGCTGAGATTAGGAGCACACACTTAAAGGCAGTGCTCCTAATCTAAGTTTGTTACCTGTATAAAAGACACCTGTCCACAGAAGCAATCAATCAGATTCCAAACTCTCCACCATGGCCAAGACCAAAGAGCTATCCAAGGATGTCAGGGACAAGATTGTAGACCTACACAAGGCTGGAATGGGCTACAAGACCATCGCCAAGCAGCTTGGTGAGAAGGTGACAAAAGTTGGTGCGATTATTTGCAAATGGAAGAAACACAAAATAACTGTAAATCTCCCTCGGCCTGGGGCTCCATGCAAGATCTCACCTCGTGGAGTTGAAATGATCATGAGAACGGTGAGGAATCAGCCCAGAACTACACTGGAGGATCTTGTCAATGATCTCAAGGCAGCTGGGACCATAGTCACCAAGAAAACAATTGGTAACACACTACGCCGTGAAGGACTGAAATCCTGCAGCGCCCGCAAGGTCCCCCTGCTCAAGAAAGCACATATACATGCCCGCCGGAAGTTTGCCAATGAACATCTGAATGATTCAGAGTGATGTGGTCAGATGAGACCAAAATTGAGCTCTTTGGCATCAACTCAACTTGCCATGTTTGGAGGAGGAATGCTGCCTATGACCCCAAGAACACCATCCCCACCGTCAAACATGGAGGTGGAAACATTATGCTTTGGGGATGTTTTTCTGCTAAGAGGACAGGACAACTTCACCGCATCAAAGGGACGATGGTTGGGGCCATGTACCATCAAATCTTGGGTGAGAACCTCCTTCCCTCAGCCAGGGCATTGAAAATGGGTTGTGGATGGGTATTCCAGCATGACAATGACCCAAAACACACAGCCAAGGCAACAAAGGAGTGGCTCAAGAAGAAGCACATTAAGGTCCTGGAGTGGCCTAGCCAGTCTCCAGACCTTAATCCCATAGAAAATCTGTGGAGGGAGCTGAAGGTTCGAGTTGCCAAACGTCAGCCTCAAAACCTTAATGTCTTGGAGAAGATCTGCAAAGAGGAGTGGGACAAAATCCCTCCTGAGATGTGTGCAAACCTGGTGGCCATCTACAAGAAATGTCTGACCTCTGTGATTGCCAACAAGGGTTTTGCCACCAGGTACTAAGTCATGTTTTGCAGAGGGGTCAAATACTTATTTCCCTCATTAAAATGCAAATCAATTTATAACATTTTTGACATGCGTTTTTCTGGATTTTCTTGGTGTTATTCTGTCTCTCACTGTTCAAATAAACCTACCATTAAAATTATAGACTGATCATTTCTCTGTCAGTGGGCAAACGTACAAAATCAGCAGGGGATCAAATACTTTTTTCCCTCACTGTATGCCCTTTTAGTGCAAGAGCTTTTTGAAAAAAATGTCAGCCTTTTCAGGTGGGATGGAGTTTTTGGCCCACAGATCACAATCTGATCTGATCATTCTGACCAATGACCAGCCATCTTTTATTTGCATATGCATCCTCCTACTTTGAAGGGGTAAGCAGGGTAGCTCTAGAGCAGGGCTCTCCAACCCTGTTCCTGGAGAGCTACCCTCCTGTAGTTTTTCACTCCAACCCCAGTTGTAACTAACCTGATTCAGCTTATCACCCAGCTAATTATTAGAATCAGGTGTGCTAGATGAGGGTTGGACTGAAAACCTACAGTATGGTAGCTCTCCAGAAACAGGATTGGAGAACCCTGCTCTAGAGTCTAGCCAATCAGCACTGTATGTAAATATTTGTTTTACTTGTATCATTTCGCCGAAAAACAATGAGACTGAGCAGTTCAATGGTAAAAGGAGGCTCAGGGAAATAAATGACAAAAAATATATTTAAGTTATTTTCATGAAATAAACCCACACCATGATTTATCAGACACAGTGAGGATTTTAAAATACATTTAAAAAGACTGCATGGGGACTTTAATCTGATAATGTCCAAATTGACCAATTACCTGGTGTCCACTCCTCATCCAACATATTTTGTCTCTGATACCTCTCCTTGTATCTTTCCACATCTATTTGATATGTAAACAGTAAAGGTTATGCATGGATACTCACACAAACGGAAACTAAACACTCAAGTCAGCAAGCACATTTTGTATCTGCTGGAAATATCTCTTAAATACATATCATTTTCTGTAGTACATTGAGCATATGACCAACTGACTCAAAAGTACAGATAAAGCAGTTATTTCTACTATACATCAATAAGCCACGATAAGGCTGCACTTGATACGGATACATAATCTTACCCCAGAAAAGAATGTGCTCGAAATCCAAGTTTAGGAATTTATAACTCAATATTCTCTCCTAGATCTGCCTCTCTGTCTACAGTGTTACATTACCTCACGCCATTTTCTTAATGGATGATGAGATACACTCACCATTGCTGATAATGCACTCTCTCACCTCCTTTCCCAGCCAGAGGCCTGATGTTGTGGGGTAGTTGTCTCATGGTTCCCCTTATCTCCTGTTTCAGGGCTAGCATGTAGTCCTCATCTTCTCCCACTTTCAACGGCACAGGCTTGAACTCCACATCCTGAATGGGGAAAATAATTAAGCCCACCAGCAATCCACCCAGAACCAGTAGAGGTTGTTCCCATAGTAAAGAAGCTATTTCATAATTTTTCATCAGTGAAACTGTTGTACTTTATGGCAGCAGGTAGCCTAGTGGTTAAGAACGTTGGGCGAGTAACTGAAAAGTCGCTGGTTTGAATCCCCGGGCCGACTATGTCAAAAAAACATGTCGATGTGCCCTTGAGCAAGGCACTTAACCCTAATTGCTCCTGTAAGTCCCTCTGGATAAGAGTGTCTGCTAAATCAGTGTCTCCCAACTCCAGTCCTCCAGTACCCTCAGCAGTACACCTTTTTGTTGTAGTCACGGACAAGCACACGTGATTCAACTTGTTAACTAATCATCAAGCCCTCCATCAGTTGAATCATGTGAGTTTGTCTGGGGCTACAACTGAAACGTGTGGTACTGGAGGACTGGAGTTGGGAAACACTGTGCTAAATGACGTAAATGTACTAAAAGCCCATTCTTCCCAAGACAATGTCTCTTACTGGTCCAGGAAACAGAGACCATAAGCCTGGTAAATGCAGTCAGTATAGTACTACTCACTGGATACAGCTTGTTGGGCCCCACTCTGGTTTGAGGCATATTCCCCCTGCTGAGGCCCAGGGATTCGATGTTGAAGCTGAAGGCAGCTATACCACGGCCTTTACCACCAGCCATGTCTGCACTATGATGGGGCTGCTGCTTCCAACACGCAATAACCTATATTACAGAGGACATGGTGATGTTCACATTCTCTCACAAACACGCGCACACAAACACATGCCCCCTCAGATTTGTCCTGTAATTTTTATTTTTTATACGTATTTACTTTTTTGTTGTTTCTCTGTAATACTACTAGCACCTAGCAATTTTATGAAGTTGGCTTTAGCTAGCCCAGATAGGTTCCCAATCTCCCAACCTCATAACTAGCTACCAAGAAGCTAGCTGCTTTTAGAAACGCTAGTATTTACACACTAGCATTGCTAGGAAGTAGCTTGCAATTTTTTTTACAAAAAACATCTAATAGAACATAAATTAAACAGACTTTCCAAACGTGGGTCTGTTGTACCCCTCGTACCCCTGCATATCGACTCGGTACTGGTACTCCCTGTATATAGCCATGTTATTTTGACTCATTATTGTTATTCGTTATTCACTGTGTATTTATTCCTTGTGCCACTATTTCTATGTTGTATCTTTAACCCTGCATTGTTGGAAAAGGACACCTGTTGTTTACAAAGTGACAATAGACTTTTATTTGATTTTTTATTTGATTTGTAGAATCACTTCCTCTCTGCTTCACGTGTGCCATACCTGCAAAAAATTGTGGGGGACTTTTATTTTGACATGAGGTAAGCAAAGGAACTGACTTTGCTGAGTAACTTCATGGATCTACAACAGACCCACGTTTGGAAATTATGTTGAATTATATGTTCCATTAGATGTTTATTTTAATTTTATTCCCCCCTGCATAAAGACCAAGCCTACAGACAATCAACAGAGTAAGCTGAAATTTTATTTTATTTTATTTAACTTCTGGCTTCCAGCGGACTATTCCATTTTTACAATGTAATTCCTTGCAAAGCTAGTGTGTAAATATTAGCATTGCTAAAAGCAGCTACCAAGAAGCCCTTTCAGGCTATCAATCAAATTCGAGTAGCTAGTTTGTAGCTGGCAAGGTTGGTAGACTTTAGAAAAGTAAGCAATAACTAAATGTACTGAATAAGACTAGTCAGGAGGATACAGAGGTATGCTTAGATATGCAGAAAAATTGACATAATTTGACATAGAATTAAGCATAGTGATTATGACAAGATTGCAGGAAAAGCGGTTTCAGGTGTATGAAAAATGCAAAGTTCTCCAATTTAATCCCCTGCCAGACCCCAGCCATCCTCACATACTTTGTGCCCCCTCAGATTTTGGGTGTGGATGACACCCTCATGCACACACACACACAAACAAACAGGAACATTTCAAATTAATTTCACTGGCTATATTTCCATCCAATTGGCGACAGATTTTCATGGGAATATTCTAAAATCCGCATAAAAACAATATGTGCATTTTCCAACCAGAGATGTTTCCATCAAATTGACATGTTGCAGACAAAAGCCTGTGCGTGATGAGATAGTGCACATAAAAATACCCTTTGTGGTTAAATTCCAATGTAGCGAATAAAAAATACAAGTTAAATGGGTTTCTATGGCATTTTCAACTCTACTGATGGTTCTCACAAAACAAATGTTGCGTTATATAGTAGCCAAGAGCGCACAACTGTTGGCTAGAGCGCAGGTATAGCCTACATGATGAGATTATTATGGACAAAAGAGCAAGGTTATTTTTATTTGTCATGTCACCAGAATAAGACCTCTCGATATTTATTGGAAAGAAGCATCAAGCTCATCACCTTGCACTTTCACCACCCTGTGAAGTTCATCATCATTTATTTCATTTGTAATAAACTGGATGCTTTCCCGACACATTGTGGAAAGACCACACAACATGTCATCGCGTGTCTCCAAGTTTACTTTGATAGGATGGTTATTAGCCTATATCAATATTTGTGCATAAAAGCGTTTGCACTGACATTTCTCGCATAATTCATTTTACCAACAACAAAAGATCCCAACTTGTCTAGCGTATTTTGTTTCGTCGACATTTGGAAAGTTTACCGGAAAATTTTCTGTTTCCATCAGGCCTGACAAAAATGCGTTACTTTTCTTATGCGACATGCACTTTACTCGCATAAAAAGGTTGGACGTAAACCTGGTTAATAGTGTCAGCTGTCAATGCATCACTAACCACGTTTCCATCCAACCATTTCATGCCCATGAATTACCTGATGTACGAAAAAACTAACGCCCGGGCTGTCGGTACAATTTTATAAATGCTGATAAGACAATTTTCGTTCGACATGGTGGGATCTTTTTGTGTGGGTAAAATTAATTAAGCAATACATGGTGGTGGAAACGCCTCTATGCGCAAATATTGATATAATAACGATCATATCGAAGTAAATTTGCGATGATGAAATGTTGTGTGGTCCTCCCACTATGACTCGGGAAATTCAGCAGTTTATTAGGCTACAGATGAAATACATTATGATGAACTTCACAGGGTGGTGAATGTGCAAGGTGATGAGCTTGACATGTCGAGGGTCTTATTCTGGTGACATGATCATCGATGCTTGGCTGCCGTTTGACAAATATAAATAATATAGTTTATCCATAATAATCTCATAATGTAGGCTAAGTAGCCTACCCGCACTGTATCTGCAACAGCGCATGTGCCAAGACCAGAATGGGCACGTTTGCTATATAACGCAAGTTTTTTGTGACAACCATCAGTAGAGTTGAAAAATAGTTGAAAATGCGAAAGTCAGTTTGATGGCAACAGATCTCTGGTGGGAAAATGCGCATATTGTTTTATGCAGATTTTAGAATATTCGCATGAAAAGCTGTCACAAATTGGATGGAAACCTAGCTACAGTCAGCCCATTGTGTGAATTGAAATCCATTGCATGTTTGTTATCGTTTTTGAACTAGAATAGCGTGTTCTGTGTGGGTTAATCAAATAGTCGAATGTCATTAAATTAAAAGTAGGACCTAATTACCACGCGACCACGCCACCGGTGAATTGTAGGTCCTTTTCGTTCTCCTTTGCGCACAGCTGATACTTTGTAGCGATACATACATTGGGCATGGTTTATATGACGACATGGGTAGGTGTGTTCTAACCAATAGCTTTTGGTTTTCACAGTGCAGTCATACATCTATCCGTCCAGTCAACATGCGTTCCTCCCACAAGGGTGTGTCCGGCGCCACCATTATTTTTGCGTATTAAAATCATAGACATTCAAATACAGTGATATTACAGTACCTGTGTGTAGCAGAAAAACGGCAATTGACCGCATCTTTGTTATTACGCGTCGCCAAGTGCATGACCTGGGATGTCTGCCACAGACTGGTACGCGCATAAATCCCTCGGAGAAGGACTATACTGGATCCAGGAGAAGTTTTTCGAATCGTCAAACAGAGCTAATATTTGGCTCCTCCGAGGATCTCACCAAGACGTAGTGATAGACACAGGCTTGGGTTTGAGGAGCTTACCTGACTACATTAACTCCAAAAGTATGCTTGGAGACGACCCGCAGCGAAAGAACCCCCTTTTGGCTATCGCCACCCACGCCCACTTCGACCACTCAGGTGGTCTGCATCAGTTCCAACAGGTCGGGGTCCACAGTGCAGAGGTCGATGCGCTGGCTAACGGAGACAACTTCGAGACTGTCACCTGGCTGTCCGACAGAGAGATAGTCCAGGCTCCCTGGCCGGGATGGAGGGCCAGGCAGTACAGAGTCAAGGCTGTACAACCAACACATATACTACAAGAAGGTAAGAACCAAACCAAACAATCTATAAAGATACCAATGTGGTGGCATAATTGTTGCAAAAATCTAGAAGACCATTGGCTGAATTCAGTCTCTAATGTATGATGTGGAGTTGAGATAAGGATATGGTCAATATGAATGTAATAACACAGCCCTTTAAGGATGTGTCTGCACCCCTTGTTACAGACTTTGAATTGGAATACGCTTTCACATTAGGCTGCATCCCAAGGGAAATGTATACTGCAGACTTGGCAGAGCACTAACACTGACCTCCCATCACTCACACACACACACACGCACACACACACACACACACACACACACACACACACACACACACACACACACACACACACACACACACACCTAGCATGACCCCTCCCTTTTTTTGTATTCCATCATACTCTCTTAATAGAAGTCAGAGCTTTAAAAATCTTACTGCACATTCTTGAGATTAGGTTCCACACACCCTAAATAAGTCTATTGACTCAGTTACATGAACTGTACAATGTTTTTGCTTATAATGGGTCCCATAGGAAATATTATTTATGGTCATGGTTCAATGTGTGAATGACACATACACCGGATAGGTGCAGTGAAATGTGTTGTTTTTACAGGGTCAGCATAGTATTACGGCGCCCCTGGAGAAAATGAGGGTTAAGTGCCTTGCTCAAGGGCACATCGACAGATTTTTCACCTTGTCGGCTCGGGTATTCGAACCAGCGACTGTCGGCCCAATGCTCTAACCACTAGGACATTGAATATCCCTTTGAGCATTTTAAAGTTATTTATTACACTTTGGATGGTGTATCAATACACCCAGTCACTACAAAGATACAGGCATCCTTCCAAACTCAGTTGATGGAGAGGAAGGAAACCGCTCAGGGATTTCACCATGAGGCCAATGGTGATTTTAATCCAGTTACAGAGTTAAATGGCTGTGATAGAAGAACTGAGGATGGATCAACAACATTGTAGGTACTACACAATAATAACCTAAATGACAGAGTGAAAAGAAGGAAGCCTGTACAGAATAAAAATATTCCAAAACATGGATCCTGTTTGCAATAAGGCACTAAAGTAATACTGCAAAAAATGTGTAAAATAAATTAACTTTTTGTCCTGAATATAAAGCATTATGCTTGGGGCAAAACCAACACAACACATCACTGAGTACCACTTTTCATAGTTTCAAGGATGGTGGTGGCTGCATCATGTTATGGGTATGCTTGTCATTGGCAAGGACTGGGGATTTTTTTTTTTTGATAAATAGAAAAGGAATAGAGCTAAGCACAGGCAAAGTCCTAGAGGAAAACCTGGTTCAGTCTGCTTTCCAACAGATACTGGGAGACAAATCCATCTTTCAGCAGGACAATAACCTAAAACGCAAGGCCAATTATACACTGGAGTTACTTACCAAGACGACATTGAATGTTCCTGAGTGGCCTAGTTACAGTTTTGACTTAAACCAGCTTGAAAATCTATGGCAAGACTTGAAAATGGCTGTCTGGCAATGATCAACAAACAACTTGACAGAGCTTGTAGAATTTATGAAGAATAATGGTTAAATATTGTACAATCCAGGTTTGCAAAGCTCTTAGTGACGTACCCAGAAAGACTCAAAGCTATAATCACTGCCAAAGGTGATATTAACATATATTTTCCATTAATACTTTTATTTGTTTATTTTTTACTTACAGAGTATTTTGTGTAGATCATTGACAAAAATGAGAATTAAATTGATTTTAGTCCCACTTTGTAACACAACAAAATGTGGAAAAGGTCAAGGGGTGTGAATACTTTCTGAAGGCACTGTATATGCGATTTTCATACTCAGCCGATGACTTTGATGGATTTTATTTCAGCCTTTACAGCAGACTAGACCCGGCCATACTGAATTACTACAGAGCCTGAGAGGGAGAATGTACACATATTCAATCCCATCCACAGAGATCAGACCACAACACAAATTATATTCTTGCTATGAAGACACACACGTACTCCTGATCCATATTCTTCATTACGGCAGCTTTTTCGTCCCGTCTTGTCAGATTGTCACACATTGCCGCACACTTAAAAAAGTTGGATCAAACTCTCCCCAGCCAGCATCCGATCCCTGTGTAATCTGTGCACTGGTCAATACACTTCTGCTGCGTCAGTGCTGCAATGCAGTTGGAATATCTTATTGCTCAATGTGTCCGTTTTCCCCGTCTTTCTCTCTCTCTCCTTACTCTCCCTCAGGTGATGTCATCAACCTGGGTGACAGGCAGCTGACGGTGCTGCACATGCCCGGCCACTCCCGGGGCAGTATCTGCCTGCACGACGGTGACAACAAGATGCTGTTCAGTGGGGATGTGGTCTACGACGGAGCCATGATCGACTGGCTGCCCACCAGCCGGGTCAGCGACTACATCAGCAGCTGTGAGCGCCTGGTGGGGCTGGTGGACAGCGAGCAGGTGGACCAGGTAATGCCGGGACACTATCACACATTTGGAGCGAAGCAGCTCCACCGCATCGCCTCGGGGTACATCGACAAAGCAGGCACCTGCCCGGCACGCTTCTCCACGTTTGCCTGGAGGACCTTGGCCGGATTGGCACTACGGGCCTCCAACACACGGGGCATCTGCTAGCCATAGGGACAGGCTAGCATGTTGAGTCGCACAGATAGACTGGCGATATGAGGGAGATAATTCACCCCCTCAATGATCAGGAAGTCTATGTATTTTCAATCAGAAACTGCTGTGATACAATGTATGTTATTTTTACGTCATTCATCAAAATGCCCCCATCGCTTTACATCAGGCAATGATTGACAGAATATCGAGATTCCCGTCATTATGGGATGCATTCAAGACTGGAAAATGAATCTTGTTTTTTATATACTATTAAGAATATGACAAGTTGTGTGATTGTTGGAATGTGCTTTCACATTAGGCAGCATCTCTTATGGCAGTGTTTCACAACCCCAGTACCCACTGTTGCACATTTTTGTTTTAGCCCAGCTGGAATAACTAATCAAGAGCTTGATGGTTAGTTGAGTAGTTGAATGAAATATGCAACCTTAAGAAGGCTATTGGACCAGAGATGAGTAACATCCCTTAAGGGAAATAAGGTGACAGGCAGCACACCACCTACTGACCTCAGACACACACACACAGAGAGAGAGAGAGAGAGAGAGAGAGAGAGAGAGAGAGAGAGAGGCATGATGGAGAGAGAGACAGAGACGAGAGAGACAGAGAGAAGAGAGAGGGAGAGAGAGAGAGAGAGAGAGACGAGAGAGAGAGAGAGAGCAGAGAGAGAGAAGAGAGAGAGAGAGAAGAGAGAGAGAGAGAGGAGAGAGAGAGAGAGAGAGAGAGAGAGAGAGAGAGAGAGAGAGAGAGAGAGAGGGAGGGAGGGAGGGAGGGAGGGAGAGAGAGAGAGAGAACACACACACAGAGCATGACCCGTCTATATCTTTGTAACCTCGTCCCCAGGCTAAGAGAGAGAGAAAGGTGGCTGGTGGACGAGACTATATATTTTGTAACACTGCATAATCCATCACACTCAATATAATAAAAGTGTTAGCACATTCTTGAAATGAGACATTCCAGTTATTGTGTTGTTTTACTTTCAACACAGAAAAAAATTACAGATTTTCAACAGCACAAATTCCCATTGAAAGATGAATGTGATAGTTTGGCTGCAAATACCGATTCTCCTCCCTTTCCCAAAGTGTGTACTTGCACACTCCACGTCATATATTTAACAATGGTGGAAAATCCCTCTAGCCAATTATTTCACCAATCCAATGATTTTACATTCATGACTGGAAGTGCACAGTTTGGGAGACAGGTGGAGAATCGAAACGCAGCCTTGGATCCTGTGTGCAGAGAATGACAGTGATAACTAGGTCACCAATGGCTCTTGCAGTACATTCAGTCTGGATAGCTGAAATACGTTACAGCAGTTTTCAACTTTAAATGGATCAAATATTAATTCAGCCCCTAAACTATGAAACAGAACACTACGTTGGCATGCACTACGTCTGCATACATTTTGGGTCAACTGACAGAGTTTAACTGACAGTGTCTAACTCGGCCCCATTTGTATTTACAGTTGAAGTTGGAAGCTTACATACACCTTAGCCAAATACATTTAAACTCAGTTTTTCACAATTCCTGACATTTAATCCTAGTAAAAATTCCCTGTCTTAGGTCAGTTAGAATCACCACTTTATTTTAAGAATGTGAAATGTCAGAATAATAGTAGAGAGAATGATTTATTTCAGCTTTTATTTCTTTCATCACATTCCCAGTGGGTCAGAAGTTTACATACACAATTAGTATTTGGTAGCATTGCGTTTAAATTGTTTAACTTGGGTCAAACGTTTCGGGTAGCCTTCCACAAGCTTCCCACAATAAGTTGGGTGAATTTTGGCCCATTCTTCCTGACAGAGCTGGTGTAACTGAGTCAGGTTTGTAGGCCTCCTTGCTTGCACACGCTTTTTCAGTTCTGCCCACACATTTTCTATAGGATTGAGGTCAGGGCTTTGTGATGGCCACTCCAATACCTTGACTTTGTTGTCCTTAAGCCATTTTGCCACAACTTTGGAAGTATGCTTGGGGTCATTGTCCATTTGGAAGACCCATTTGCGACCAAGCTTTAACTTCCTGACTGATGTCTTGAGATTTTGCTTCAATATATCGACATCATTTTCCTTCCTCATGATGCCATCTATTTTGTGAAGTGCACCAGTCCCTCCTGCAGCAAAGCACCCCCACAGCATGATGCTGCCACCCCCGTGCTTCACGGTTGGGATGGTGTTCTTCAGCTTGCAAGCATCCCCCTTTTTCCTCCAAACATAACGATGGTCAGCATCTTCACAAGGTCCTTTGCTGTTGTTCTGGGATTGATTTGCACTTTTCGCATCAAAGTACGTTAATTTCTAGGAGACAGAACGCGTCTCCTTCCTGAGCGGTATGACGGCTGCGTGGTCCCATGGTGTTTATACTTGCGTACTATTGTTTGTACAGATGAACGTGGTACCTTCAGGCATTTGGAAATTGCTCCCAAGGATGAACCAGATTTGTGGAGGTCTACAATTTTTTTTCTGAGGTCTTGGCTGATTTATTTTGATTTTCCCATGATGTCAGGCAAAGAGGCACTGAGTTTGAAGGTAGGCCTTGAAATACATCCACAGGTACACCTCTAATTGACTAAAATTATGCGAATTAGCCTATCAGAAGCTTCTAAAGCCATGACATTATTTTCTGGAATTTTCAAAGGCACAGTCAACTTAGTGTATGTAAACTTCTGACCCACTAGAATTGTGATACAGTGAAATAATCTGTCTGTTAACAATTGTTGGAAAAATTACTTGTGTCATGCACAAAGTAGATGTCCTAACCGACTTGCCAAAACTATAGTTTGTTAACAATACATTTGTGGAGTGGTTGAAAAACAAGTTTTTAATGACTCCAACCTAAGTGTATGTAAACTTCCGACTTCAACTGTATGTATATCATCTTTGATGCCTACATCAAGGCATCTGTTATTTCTGATTCTGATTATGCATAAAAGTGATTTTTGTAAAGCTACTTTTGAAATGTATTCACACCCTCTGTGCGTCATGGGCCTGATTCCGACATAGGAAATTACGCCTTTCTTACACACGCCTTTCCTACGCACTTCTCAGTAGTTGGTATTCAGACTTACCTTATGAAGGTGCGTAAAATGCTTTGCAGGCGTGGTTCCCTTGCCTGCGCTGAATAAATGTAATTCAACCGCTGAAAACCCTCCCACTTGATGGCCAACAAATTCAATAGGGTTTTCAGTACATTTATCTTGAGCCATCCCTTTTGATACAGTGTACCTTTAATTAGAATTTTGTCGACAGACTAGAATACATAGAGAGAACGGGTTCAGAAAATAGGGCTCAATGAAAGAAAGCCATCTAGACTGAACAAAAATATAAACGCAACATGTAAAGTGTTGGTCCGATGTTTACATGAGCTGAAATAAAAGATCCCATACATTTTCCATATGCACAGAAAGCTTATTTCTCTCAAATCTTGTGCACAAATTGTTTACATCCCTGTTAGTGAGCATTTCTCCTTTGCCAAGATAATCCATCCACCTCACACGTGTGGCATATCAAGAAGCAGATTAAACAGCATGATCATTACACAGGTGCATCTTGTGCTGGGAACAATAAAATGTGCAGTTTTGTCACACAACACAATGCCACAGATGTTTCAGGTTTTGAGGGAGTGTGCAATTGGCATGCTGACTGCAGGAATGTCCACCAGAGATGTTGCCAGATAATTTAATGTTCATTTCTCTACCATAAGCCACCTCCAACGTCATTTTAGAGAATTTGGCAGTACGTCCAACCGGCCTCACAACCGCAGACCACGTGTAACCATGCCAGCCTAGGACCTCCACATCCTGCTTCTTCACCTGCGGGATCATCTGAGACCAGCCACCCGGACAGCTGATGAAATTGCGGGTTTGCCCAACCAAATAATTTCTGCACAAACTATCAGAAATCATTTCAGGGAAGCTCATCTGCGTTCTCTTGACCTGACTGCAATTCAGCGTCGTAACTGACTTCAGTGGGCAAATGCTCACATTCGATGGCCACTGGTTTCAACTGAACCGGGCAGATGGCAGACAGCGTGTATGGCGTTGTGTGGGCGAGCGGTTTGCTGATGTCAACGTTGTGAATAGAGTGCCCCCATGGTGGTGGTGGGGTTATGGTATGGGCAGGCATAAACTACAGACAACGAACACAATTGTATTTTATCAATGGCAGTTTGAAAGCACAGAGATGCTGTGACGAGATCCTGAGGCCATTCATCCGCCGCCATCACCTCATGTTTCAGCATGATAATGCACGGCCCCATGTCGCAAGGATCTGTACACAATTCCTGGAAGATGAAAATGTCCCAGTTCTTCCATGGCCTGCATACTCACCAGACACGTCACCCATGGAGGATGTTTAGGATGCTCTGGATCAACGTGTATGACACCGTGTTCCAGTTCCCGCCAATATCCAGCAACTTCTCACAGCCATTGAAGAGGAGAGGGACAACATTCCACCTGCCACAATCATCAGCCTGATCAACTCTATGCGAAGGAGATGTGTTTTCGTGCTGCATGAGGTAAATGGTGGTCACACCAGATACTGACTGGTTTTCTGATCCACGCCCCTGCCTTTTTTTAAAGGTATCTGGGACCAACAGATGCATATCTGTATTCCCAGTTATGTGAAATCCATAGGTTAGGGTCTTATGAATTTATTTCAATTGACTGATTTCCTTATACGAACTGTAACTCAATAAAATCTTTGAAATTGTAGCATGTTGCATTTATATTTTTTGTCAGTGTAAATATATGCATATTTGTCGTTTCAACACCAACTGGTAAATCAAATAATACTATGATCTTGTAGATTATTTAGGCAAACTTTAGGGTTAGGAAAGTATGTATGAATCATAAAAAAACAGGTTTGGAGAGCAACGTATTTGATGAATAAAAAATACAGTGGTTTGATTCATTCTGAAAATTGCCATATTCAGTTATTTAACCCATGGTAATGTTGAAAGATTAGTGTACATAGAATTATAATAGGGAGAATAGTGTACAATAGTAGGCTATACCCTCGTCTATTGCCTGCACTAACTATGGAACTGTGTGATGACACAGCCAAGTATTGCGCAATGCGTCGGGTTCAAACTGTTACTGCTTGGTCTGTGCTCCGCTCCATAACGATTTAATTAGCCTACGTCTTTAAAAAAAGATGATCAACTGTTACTAATTATCCTCAGCAACAACCACATGGCCATGACGGCGTTTACAGAGGAAGCAAATTAAGGTAAATGAAAGAAATTGAATTATAATGTAGTGCCCATCCCTGCAAGTTAAAAGGCCGTACAATTTAAATTCTGCATAATGGCACAGCATTTCATCAACTTTGCTGTGGAAAATGGATATGTTGATATGCTTCAGTTTGCTGCCAAATGACTGGTTTCACATTTGTCTCCAGCGATTAGAAGGTAAAATATATCTTTAAAAAAGTGTAATTTATATTTACAATTCCCTTATTCAAACGGATTATTCATTTACCTAGCTCTTACCAATAGCTCTTATCATGTTGTAAATTACAGTGCATGGAGAATGGTGTTATTTCTATCGGGGGAAAAAGTAGATGCTTTTTCCACTTGGAACCGGTAGGTTCACTAGACCTTATTCATGGTTTACTCACACGTAAAGGTGATGGAATTATAAGGGAATTAAGTTAAGGTCAGAATATGGTGTATCTGTAGACACACCTCCGCCACACCTTCATTTATTCGAGCTCCACCCCAAACGAATAGCAGGTGAATAACATGCTATTCTCATGCTTAAGTTAAAGGTCAGAATACGCAGATAGAAAAGTGCACAAAAATTGAATAAGGTTCCATTTACGCGCGCTTAACTCGGGTTAGAATCGGGCCCATGTACTTAATGGTCATATGGGGTGAAATGTGTATATGTTTGAGTATGCGAGCACACAGTCCGTTTGACCTGACAAAGATCCTTGTGGATCGAAACATTGTCAATAAAAGTGGTATTTGGGAGCATATTCAGTGTGCAGGCCTTTCTGTTCAACATTGACAAAAAGCATGTTTGCTGTAGAGCAGTGCTGTTCAATTTAGGTCCTGGAGGGCCAAAACTCTCATTATAATCAGGGACTGATACAGACCTGGGACACCAGGTGAGTTCAATAAACTACCAGGTAGAAACAAAAACCAGAAGTGTTTCAACCATCCAGGACCAGAATTGAACAGCCCTGCTCAAGAGTTAGCTAATAGATTTTTTCCTCTACATATCATATTATACTGGGGATCCTTTCCACTAAAATGAGACAGACATGACAGAAGAAAAACAATGTCTGTTCTAAATTGATAAATCATTTATTATCGATATGTTACATATTTAAACAACACAGGACACTCTTGCATGGTTAACATTAAAATGTTATCTACCGGACACAGTTATAGATCTGAAATCATCTGTTAAAATAATATATAAATATAGCTGTATTTATAACAAAATCAATCATGTTAAATATATTTTAACAAAAAGAAAGGAGAAAGAAGTGTTTTGTTAACTTACAAAAAACTTTACAGTAACAAATGCCACTTTGAAGCATTTACAGTTGTTTTAATGAGGAAAACTGAGTGAGCCAGCTGTGAGCCCTTGGAACACAGTAACATGTCATAGCCTACAGTCCATTAAATACAGAAACATGGAGGGCTTCACTGCATAGACCAGGGGGGCCAACCACACCTACCCCTGCCCACCTTATCATCATTTAACAACTACTACAATCACCTGCTTTGCATTTCTTATCAGGTAAAAGACTGCACTATCTATCTTAAGAAAAAGCTAAACACAATATTTGCTATAGATCAATAGTTCCTGTATTGCCTACTTGCATAATCGATTGCGACGTTATATATATATATATATATATATATATTATTGCAGCAAAATTCTGGGACTGGCTTGCAGGACATAAGGTTATGACTGTACCACAATCTACGCTATAAATCAACGAGGTCAGAGATGGGATTCCTAAACTCTTCACCCATGTATGTGCATTCCCAGGTTCTACGTTCTCAAATAGATAACATTTGCCAACCTAACTGGATGACATTGAAATACACTTGAATAGACAATTTCAATGGGACCTGAGAAGAGCTGTAGCATGGGGTTTAAACCACCTCGCAACACTGTTCTCCATGCAGAGTATTGGTTTCATCAACAGAGTATCGTTGTGAGGAAATCCTTGCCTGCTAGTGGGGGCATTTTAAGATTGACAAGGACATCCACAGCCTATGCCTCTCCATTCCAAAACCATCCAGGCCTACAACTTAACTGTAGGGGCCGGCCCGGATTTCAAAGTCAGTACATTTGCATGCAATACTGCAATGAGGCAGTGTAACACGAGTTAATATGGGTTCTCATGTTTATGTAGTACATTACCTTTGGCTTACATCAATTCATTATAATTACATAAATATCGGTTGGTGTGTAGTTGGCCTACGATGTGTTAATGAATACAGGGGAGGTTGTAGGAACCTTGCAGAAGCTCGATGTGACCCTGATGTTATCACAGTAGTAACAAGTAGTACAGTAAATTAATGGGAGAACTGTTGCATTAAGTTGAGCTTTCAATTCATTCACCTTCTGAGCAGTTAAGATCTCCAGCAACGCATTCTTTGACTTGCAATAAGCAAATCGGTGCATAAGTATACTTGTTCCTTCTAGGCATGAATTCATATTACAGGTGATGGGTCTAGCCATTTGGATAAATCAGTGAGCCTTTGTGGTACAGGTAACAACAACAACAACAACAACAACAACAACAACAACCCCATGACCACATATAGACACTTCAACATTTCAAATGAGTACACTAAACATTCCCATACACTGACAATTCACTTTGCCACATGCTCACTGCCCTGCCCAAACACTGCAAACCCAAATACAGCACATACAGTAAGTAAATACTGCAGCTGAACTAACAAGGTGCTATGAAATCATGTTCCTATTGAGGGGTGTATGGCTTGGATGACTGACGAGGAAGCTCTAGTCTTTGACTGACAGATGCTGCCCTTTTCAGTTGGAGATTTCAGATGCGCATAGCCTAGAGATATTGCGTGTATATCAACAAAAAACATTTTCTCTTCAATTTCCTAACCAGCGTTACCATTAGAAAGGCAAGCAGAAGACTCCCATGTTCTGTGGACCACTGACACTCACACAGCCCAGTGAAGACCTGGATGCAGAATGTCTCCTGTCCTTAGTCTAAAGTCATTCCAGTTAATACCAGGGCTCTCTCAACTGAGGGACTGGGACAGGCTTCCTTCCTGCCACTTCTTACCAGGACTTTGGATGATCTGGGGGTCTGAGGTGGATTATCCCAGGCTCTGGAGGCGGTTTAGATGAGTGGGGGTCTGAGGTGGGTTATACCTGGCTCTGGAGCCAATTTCGGGGGTCCAGTTTGGCTCTCAGGTTCCTGAGGCTCCGGCGGGCTGAGGAGGGGCGTGAGAAAGGGGTACCATCCAACGAGGAAGGGCTGTGGCTGCCCTCGCTGGAGCCGTTACTGGAGGTGGAGCTGGAGCAGGACAGGGTGGCCTGGGGGACGCATTGGTCCGGGATGGGGGCGAGGGAGGAGGAGGAAGGGGGCTGACAGGAGCACTGTAACACCCCCACATACCCCCTGCCCCTGAGAGTGCTGAGCTTGGCGTCCAGGGAGAGGGTGCGGGGGCGGAAGTGGGAGGAGGGGGAGGAGAGGGGGAGTGGTTCGGCCCAGCCGTGGTGGCGGAAGCAGGGGCTGGTGCTGCAGGGGCTGTCGCTGTCCGAGGTCAGGCTGGCATCTGAGGAGAGCAGGCCGGGCCAAGGGCAGCGCAGGGGGCTCAGTGGGCTGTGGGGGAGGCGGTGGGGGGAGCGGGGGCTGTGGCGGGCCAGCCGAGGGGTGCGGGTCCCACCAGGAGAATCCTCGAACAGGGACATCCAGGGAGGACAGGTCCCCAGCTGGCTCCTCAGCTCCAGCTCCTGCATCCGCCGTGTCAGGATGTCCGTCACCGTGCTGATGTCATCAGAGGTGTCAATAACTAGGAGGAGCAGAGGAAAGTCATTATTCTACTGTGGAAGGACAGACTATGCTAATAAAGTTGAGACAGTTGAGTACAGTTTAGAGAAGGGTAGGCCTAGACTTGGTGGTGGTAGTTGAGGAGGGATGCCAGCTTCAACACTCCTCAGTAGGTAGGAGAGCCCAGTACAGGGGGGGGAGTGGACCCCACTGGTACTTCACCTGTCGTTGTAATAGGAGGAGAGCAGAGCACGAATCTCAGCAGACACAGCGTTATCCTGCAGCAAGAGACCCTCACAAGAGGGGGAGGTGAGGGGGGCTAGGATCCATGGGGAGGGGGGCAACCCATGGGGTGGTGGGCAGGTATTATGTACATTGACGGGCAGTAAAATATAATGGCGATATATCATTTGGGGAATGAAATGATGTGCATGACAAGGTAAAAATACGTTAATTTTGAATATATGAAGATTAGCATTCGATTGGAGTGTACAATTAACAATGACGGAGGATAAATAATGATATTGGTGGGAAAAAATGTGGGGGGGGGGGTGTAATTTCATCACAGGAACAAGGGAGAGTGGCAGGGAGGGGATGTGGGACAGTGATAGCCAAAAATGTAAAGACACACAAGGAGAGGGAGAAAGGAAGAGAGGAAGAGAGAAAGAAAGTGAGTCAGCAGCATGTCAGAGAAAGGAACACTTCCATCCATAGTAAAGTACAGAGAGGTTGGTCGGTGTGCTAGTGAGGCAGCAGGTAGCTCAGAGTAGAGTCTGATGGAGAGCTCAAGGACCACACCACTGTTAGAACAACTAGTCAGAAACACAACATGCAGTTAAGGAAAGGGGACTGTCATCATCTGCTTATATCGTTCATTGTTTTATTTGTTTTTTTTTGTAAACCTTTTAACCTATTATTTACGCGAACCTAAACCTATACGAAATATTATGTTACCCTACTGTATGTTCTAGATTTAATACAATTGAATAAAAGCAAAAAGAGACCCTCAAGTGTCAAAAATGTCTTACTGAATCATGTAAACGTATTTTGGACAATATAGTAACAGTCTCTGGATCCATTTGGGTTGCTGTCTTACCCATTTCGTGGTAAAGAGAACCCTGTTTCGACGTGACAAGGGCTGGTTTCCGGGGTGATGGCAGCTCAATCTTCATCAAGTCGTCACAGCACTGCTTCCATTGGCCTGCAGGGAAGAAGGAAGCCGTCAATCACCTTCAAACATCCAATCAAGAGCTGAGAAAACCACTAACAACACATCAGGAGCAAAGGAGCACATGAACAAGAGCATATAAGGACCTAGAGTGTAAAGTGTGTATCATGTCTAAGGCCAGGAGGATCAGGAGTTTTTTTCTTACCTCCTGACCTCACCAATGAAGAACCTAGGGCCATAATCATGTGATCAGAACCTACTTACTCATGTAAAAAATACAGATGTATTATTATTAATAGTTTCTATTATTAAATAATTAATTGTTAAAAATAAGTAATTATTATTATTTTTAATTACTCATGTCATAGAACTGTTGCCAGAAGGCTTCCATCCAACGCTGTGTCTCTTCGCGACTGTCTGCCGAGAGTGTATGTGTCACCTCCTCTCCCCCGTACTGGTTACTGATGCAGATGCTCTGGGCCTTAATGTGGGGGTCCTTCTCTGACGCACGTATTCTCGTCTCCTAACACACAGAAACATAGATACACAATAAGCTACTGATGTTGAATTTGACCAAATCTTTCAATACCCACCCCAAAATAAGCATTTAAGCATAAAGTTAAGCTTTTAACATCTGTCCACCCAGTTTGTGAATGCACTTACTGACACAAAGAGCAGTCACTGACATAGTCAAGTCCGGTAGAGTCAGCCTCAAGCATTAATATGTCCCAGTTATCACCTACGTCCCAATTATCTCTCCGTCCTCCCAGTGTGCACAGGTGGAAATGCCCTATAGCCAATGCCTCCTCCAATCCAATGCTTTGGGAAGTAGTGAAGGAGGGTACATTTCAGGAGAAAAGTAATATTATTGGGACACACCATAATGACTGTACGGCAATGTGTATCCTCATCGCCACCAGTAGATGGTAGCAGCGCCCTGTTCAGCCTCACTCTGGGCTCACCTTGTTCCTGAGAGCAAAGCAGTCAGAGCAGCTGACTAATGCATGATCCCACAGAGTTGGCTGACTTAACGGTCTCTGCCTGAAGCTAAAACAGGGCTTTGTGCTGTGGGTCAAGGGTCACCACGACTCAATGAGCGACAGCAGAAAGAATAAGGCCCACAGGGATCAACAAGGATGAATGTCTGATTGAAACGAGAGGAAGAAGTTCTGTCCTTGAAGTCCTCTCTTATGAGAGACTGTCTGCTTGTATTAGGACTGGGAGATATATTAAATTAATTTGATTAATTATAATGTATGTTTTAGCGCGACATTCCAAATGCCTGTATCGCAAGAAACAAGATTTTTTATTTTTTATGGAGCATTTATAGTGCATTCAGAAAGTATTCAGACCCCTACACTTTTTCCACATTTTGTTACGTTACAGCCTTATTCTAAAATTGATTAAATAAAATAAAATCCTCTGCAATCGCCACACAATACCCCATAACGACAAAGCAAAAACAGTTGTTTTAAAAAAAACAAATTAATATGTATTACAAATAAAAAACAGATATACCTTATTTACATAAGTATTCAGACCCTTTGCTATGAGACTCGAAATTCAGCTCAGGTGCATCCTGTTTCCATTGATCATCCTTGAGATGTTTCTACAACTTGATTGGAGTCCACCTGTGGTACATTCAATTGATTGGACATAATTTGGAAAGGCACACACCTGTCTATATAAGGTTCCACAGTTGACAGTGCATGTCAGAGCAAAAACCAAGCCATGAGGTCGAAGGAATGGTCCATAGAGCTCCGAGACAGGATTGTGTCGAGGCACAGATCTGGGGAAGGGTACCAAAACATTTCTGCAGCACTGAAGGTAAATGGAAGAAGTTTGGAACCACCAAGACTCTTCCTAGAGCTGGCCGCCCGGCCAAACTGAGCAATCGGGGGAGAAGGGCCTTGGTCAGGGAGGTGACTCTATGGAGATGGGAAAACCTTCCAGAAGGACAACCATCTCTGCAGCACTCCACCAATCAGGCCTTTATGGTAATGGCCAGACGGAAGCCACTCCTCACTAAAAAGGCACATAACAGCCCGCTTGGAGTTTGCCAAAAGGCACCTAAAGGACTCTCAGACCAGGAGAAACAAGATTCTCTGGTCTGATGAAACCAAGATTGAACTCTTCGGCCTGAATGCCAAGCGTCATATGTGGAGGAAACCTGGCACCATCCCTATTGTGAAGCATGGTGGTGGCAGTATCATGCTGTGAGGAAGTTTTTCAGTGGCAGGGACTGGGAGACTAGTCAGGATCGAGGGAAAGATGAATGGAGCAAAGTACAGAGAGATCCTTGATGAAAACCTGCTCCAGAGCGCTCAGGACCTCAGACTGGGGACGAAGATTCACCTTCCAACAGGACAACGACCCTAAGCACACAGCCAAGACAATGCAGGAGTGGCTTCGGGAGAAGTCTTTGAATGTCCTTGAGTTGCCCAGCCAGAGCCCAGACTTGAACTCGATCGAACATCTCTGGAGAGACCTGGAAATAGCTGTGCAGCGACGCTCCCCATCCAACCTGACAGAGCTTGAGAGGATCTGCAGAGAAGAATGGAAGAAACTCCCCAAATACAGGTGTGCCAAGCTTGTAGTGTCATACCCAAGAAGACTCGAGGCTGTAATCGCTGCCAAAGGTGCTTCAACAAAGTACTGAATAAAGGGTCTGAATACTTATGCAAATGTAATATTTAAGTTGTTTTTTTTCATAAATTTGCAAACATTTCTAAAAACCTGTTTTTGCTTTGTCATTATGGGTTATTGTGTGTAGATTGATGAGGAGGGGAAAAAAAGGCTGGAACGTAACAAAATGTGGGAAAAGTCAAGGGGTCTGAATACTTTCCGAATGCACTGTATGTCCTCTTGTTCTCATGTTGTATTTTTGGTCTTGTCTCCTTTGCTCCTTCTGTGCTGTGTGCACCTTCCCATTTACACCAGAGGTCTGTATATAATGACGAGATGCTTATGTCTCTGCCCGAACAATGGAAGCCATTGTCCCAAAGGCGCGAAGGCAGGCGACAAGCTTAGTTCCAAAATAAGCCCATAGAAACGTATTGGTCTAATTTTGGACAGATGTTGGCGAGAGTGAAACCTCTCGCTTCTCCTCTTTCTCTCGGTTTACACACACACACACACACCAAGCCCCTCCCCCTGCCACTCACACAACAAATATGAGAGATCACTTCTTCCTCTCTGACAAGCAGTTTCAACTCGCTATTGGCATTTGAGGTTTGGTCCAACAGAATCGGTCATATGGACAACGAAACATATTGAGACATTATTTTACTGTAATAGAGGAGAAGTTAACCTTCCTAACAATGCCCTTTTTATGTCTCAACTGCTCAAATTGCACGCAGAGCAGACTACTAAAACGGGAGTATCAATGAACATTAATTCTGGAAAATTAATGCTCAGTTTGTCGCGCGCGGCATTGTGGTACCGCTAGCAGCATTTTAGACAAAGACTGTTATACTAGCAGTCTAGTCTGTGTTTTATAAATTAGCAATAAGCATAACACACAATTACATAAGGAATTGGAAACTCATTCTTATTCGGAGAAGTAAGGCAGGCCACTTGATTTCAACATCTGAACAAAGTGGACAGTCTAGCATGCTGTTCAAACAGTTGGAGACTGACAGAAGGGTGAGTTCATTACAATTCAACTCTTCTGCCTTGTTAGCTAGCAAATAGATCCAAGTTGGCTTTAAATATAAAGATTAGCTTGTGGGCTTGTGATTGAGAGATTGTTTATATGAGACCTGTGTACATTTTCTATAATGCCTGCTACAAGAAGTGAATGTGCATTATGCATGGTTCTGGTCAAATGTGTAACAAAAGGGGATTTCATAGACAAACTTGAAAGCCAGATCAGTGATTATTGCAAAAAAGCAGGTTAAACTATTTTGATGAAATAATACAATTATTAGTGGGTCTTATGGTTGTGGAAGGCTTCTAGTTAGCCTAGGTATAATTTCACAAGCCCTGAATTCATAAGATTATTGCTGACTGTTTGAAATGCAGTTTATTTGACCTTTAATTGTACAACAAAGCTTATTTAGAGAAAACATGTTTTAAAAAATCGAGATATATATAGTGAATCGCCCATATGTTTGAAAAAATAGAGATAATTTTTAGGCCATATCACCCAGCCCTAGCTTGTATATGACGTTAGCGTCTCACCTTTAAAAGGGCCAATCTGCAATTGGTACATCCTTTTATGGACGTTTAAATAATTATACTGTATATACACCGATTGATTCTTGAAGAATATATCCGCTTTGATATTTGAACTGCAGATACCCCCTATAAGAAGACATCACAAATAATAAGAGAGGTGGCATTACAAGATCAGATAATCCCTATATGTGTAGTGTAGCTAGCATGCTTTTTTGTTTCATGTTGAGAGTGTGTGTATGTGGTAAAGTTCTTTTTTTCATAAACTGACTTTGTTGATGGCAATGGTAAAGGCTGGCTCGACGTTAGCCTCCATATCCTCTTGCCGGTGGTAACAGAAAAGGTTTGTCCCTTTAAGGACGCCGTAGACATTGGTCCAACTCTGAGGGTCACCTCCCAACTGCTTTGAGAGACAGAGAAGCTAATTACACACAGACAGACAGACAGACAGAGACAGAGACAGAGACAGAGACAGAGAGAGAGAGAGAGAGAGAGAGAGAGAGAGAGAGAGAGAGAGAGAGAGAGAGAGAGAGAGAGAGAGAGAGAGAGAGAGAGAGAGAGAGAGAGAGAGAGAGAGAGAGAGAGAGAGAGAGAGAGAGAGAGAGAAAAGGAATGAAAGACAAAGGGGCAAAAGAGGAAAAAAATAATCCAGCTCCAACTTCCTGTGCTCACGCACATGGCAGGGCTCTAAATGAACATTTATCATTGGTAGCACTGGTGCTCCCAATGTAAAAAAGTTAGAGAGATATAGCCTATACGTATTCTAGCTACTTCTGAAGCACGTTGCGCCCTAGAAACTAATATGCAACCCTGCAAATACATTTGTTTATTATAAAAAGCTAAAATGTTGATACAATTACCTGTCATTTAAATTAAAAAGTCATTTGTGGAACATTAGATTTCTACATTATGTAAAATGACTATTTTCCTATTGCAATGCATTACATTGAACATTTTACACTGTCTCTTTAAGAGTGTCAAGTTTGTGATGAGGACATGCAAGAGATCTGTCATTAATTAATTGCTATGATCATTGATCTCCTGAGGAAGATATCCCTTTTCCTTTCTTTCTGTGCCCCCAAATGTTTGAATATACTGGTAAAGTTACCAGGTTGTTAGCTAGCTAGCTAATGAGGAAACAAACATGACTGAAAAAGGTGTAAAACAAATGGTTAACGACCCCCGAATAGTTTCAGAACGGTTTTAGAAAGTAAAATGCAGGCCCCCAATCCTTGACAGGAAGAAAAAACCGTTGCGCCAGTAATATGGGACAGATCTTTTGAACCGTTTGGACTAGAAACAAGCAGTAATGGTGCAAGCACGCCGCTAACGAATCTGCGCTCGGGAAACAACGGTAATGCGAAACCTTATCATTATAACAATTATTATCAAAAAATATATACAGTAGATTGGATTTAATGGGGGTTGCACAGCAAAATATTTTGTCGCACTTTAGAGCCCTGCGCACATACCTTGCTATCCTACCAAACACACACATGCAAATTCACGCGCACACACACAGACACTCACCTTGACCTTCAAGCAGCCGCTCATCATCTGCTGGGTCATACAGTGAGGCTGAGCAGCCAGACGACAACACATGCTGCCGTAGAGAGGCACCCAGTACGGACACTCCTCTGCAGGGAGAGAAAGAGAGGGGGATGGATGGAGAAAGAAAGAAAGGGATGAATGAGGGTTGAGAAACTAAATACAATGAACATGTACCGCACGCGCACACACACACACACACACACACACAAACAAACCACCAGGAATAGCAGGGAATAAAAGTCTCACAGCTGCAGGGAGAGCTGTGAACAACAGTGAAGTGCCCATCAAACTTTATTACAGCCGTAAGGGGCAACGAATAAAGCAGCAGCACATGTCAGGGTGTCTAGTCCCCTGTAGCCCTCATCATTAGTTTTACACAGCACTGACCCTGCTAGAGAGTGCTTTCCTACTATGACCTTGACTCTGACTGGCTGTCTGTCAGCTAGATACCTGCTGGGAGAGAGGGAGGGAGGGAGAGAGAGAGAGACACAGAGACAGAGAGACTGACACAGAGGGAAAGAAAGAAAGAGATCGAAAGCAAAATCGCCCATGAGTACTGTAGATGGATAAACCACATCCAGACTGTGACCTACCGTTGCCTGAGATGCTGAGGTCGTGAGTGCGGAAGCTGTCCTGGACATGTGACAGTGACAGGGAGGTGTGGGCCAGGAGGTGGTACTTAGGTCCCCTGTGGACAGAACAGAGACATTGGTGAGCTGTGTGACTGTGGGATAAATGCACACGTGTCTCTGTGTGTCCCCCAGTGACTTTGTGTGGGTGTTTTTGGCTGATTATTTTACCACTAATTGTTCTAATTGGGCAAAATATCAGAATTGTGCCTCTGTGTATGCATGGAAATGCATATCAGTGTGTGTGTGTGTGTGAATATCTAGCTATTGTAGTGTGTGAGCATTGACGTGTATACAACAAAACCCACTTACGCCACTGTAGGTACAGGTAGCAGTAGTGTGGCTCCCCCTCCATTGCTGGTGGGGCTGCAGGCTCCAGGGTCCATGGCAACACGGAGCTTTTTTCCTGCCGAGCGGCCCAGAGAGCTGCTCAGTTTGCTGGCTAGTTTCCTGGACGTGCTCCCTGCCGAGTAGTCCTCCTCCGAACAGCAGCTGTACAGCTCAACTCGCAGCTCGAAGCCAGGGCTGGCCTCGCTACTATACACAGCCAAAGAAACACACATAGAGATACACTGTTACACATGCATTGAAAAGGAAAAAGTAACGCACGGGCACGCACAGCAAACACATACTTATAAAGTGCCTTTGGAAAGTATTCAGACCACTTGACTTTTTCCTCATTTTGTTACGTTACAGCCTTATTCTAAAATTGATTAAATTAATGTTTTTCCTCATCAATCTACACACAATACCCCATAAGGACAAAGCAAAAACAGGTTTTTAGAAATTGTAGCAAATGTATTAAAAATAGAAATACCTTATTTACATAAGTATTCAGACCCTTTGCTATGAGTCTCGAAATTGAGCTCAGGCGCATCCTGTTTCCATTGATCATCCTTGAGATGTTTCTATAACTTGATTGCAGTCCACCTGTGGTAAATTCAATTGATTGGACATGATTTGGAAAAGCAAACACCTGTCTATATAAGGTCCCACAGTTGACAGTGCATGTCAGAGTAAAAACCAAGCCATGAGGTCGAAGGAATTGTCTGTAGCGCTCCGAGACAGGATTGTGTTGAGGCACAGATCTGGGGAAGGGTACTAAAAGATTTCTGTAGCACTCAACCAATCAGGCCTTTACGGTAGAGTGGCCAGATGGAAGCCACTCCTCAGTAAAAGGCACATGACAGCCCACTTGGAGTTTGCCAAAAGGCACCTAAAGACTCTCAGACCATGAGAAACAAGATTCTCTGGTCTGATGAAACCAAGATTGAACTCTTTGGCCTGAATGCCAAGCGTCACATCTGGAGGAAACCTGGCACCATCCCTACTGTGAAGCATGGTGGTGGCAGCATCATGCTGTGGGGATGTTTTTCAGTGGCAGGGACTGGGAGACTAGTCAGGATTGAGGGAAAGATGAATGGAGCAAAGTAAAGAGAGGTCCTTGATGAAAACCTGCTCCAGAGCGCTCAGGACCTCAGACTGGGGCGAAGACTCACCTTCCAACAGGACAATGACCCTAAGCACACAGCCAAGACAATGCAGGAGTGACTTCGGGACAAGTATCTGAATGTCCTTGAGTTGCCCAGCCAGAGCCCGGACTTGAACTCGATCGAACATCTCTGGAGAGACCTGAAAATATCTGTGCAGTGACGCTCCCCATCCAACCTGACAGAGTTTGAGAGGATCTGCAGAGAAAAATGGGAGAAACTCCCCAAATAAAGGTGTGCCAAGCTTGTAGCGTCACACCCAAGAAGACTCAATGCTGTAATCGCTGCCAAAGGTGCTTCAACAAAGTACTGATTAAAGGGTCTGAATACTTATGTAAATGTGATATTTCAATTTTTTGTTTTGACATTATGGGGTACTGTGTGTAGATTGATGATGGGAAAAAAACGTTTGAATCAATTTTAGAATAAGGCTTTAACGTAACAAAATGTGGAAAAGGTCAAGGGGTCTGAATACTTTCTGAATGCACTGTATATACAGAATCAGGTACTGATACATGATTTGAAACTGTATACATGTATCTCCGTACAAGCATGCACTTATAAACACCAAACACTTACCATGGGAAAGATAAGACAGTAAGGCTGCGTTTACACAGGAAGCCGAATTCTGATATTTTTCCACTAATTGGTCTTTTGACTAATCAGATCAGCTCTTTTGCCAATAATTGGGCAAAAGTTCAGAATTGGGCAGCCTGTGTAAACGCAGCATAAGACAACACAAGCCAACCGAAAGAGAAGACGTACAAGACGATGGTGTTGTCAAAGCAGATGTCGGTGAGTGTTCGGTCCACCATCACCATGTCTGTGTCGTGAATCTCCCCTCCCACCTGGAGCAGACAGAACACTGCACACCGATGCAGCTCTGAGGGAAAGAGAGAGAGACATAGTGAGAGAGTATGTGTGAGTGTGTGCATGAGTGTACAGTCGTGGTCAAACGTTTTGAGAATGACAAGTATTGGTCTCCACAAAGTTCGCTGTTTCAGTGTTATGAGATATTTTTGTCAGATGTTACTATGGTATACTGAAGTATAATTACAAGCATTCCATAAGTGTCAAAGGCTTTTATTGACAATTACATTAAGTTTATGCAAAGAGTCAATATTTGCAGTGTTGACCCTTCTTTTTCATGACCTCTGCAATCCGCCCTGGCATGCTGTCAATTAACTTCTGGGCCACATCCTGACTGATGGCAGCCCATTCTTGCAAAATCAATGCTTGGAGGGTTTTTGTTTGTCCACCCGCCTCTTGAGGATCGACCACAAGTTCTCAATGGGATTAAGGTCTGGGGAGTTTCCTGGCCATGGACCCAAACTGTCTATGTTTTGTTCCCCGAGCCACTTAGTTATCACTTTTGCCTTATGGCAAGGTGCTCCATCATGCTGGAAAAGGCATTGGTCGTCACCAAACTGTTCTTGGATGGTTGGGAGAAGTTGCTTTCGGAGGATGTGTTGGTACCATTCTTTATTCATGGCTGTGTTCTTAGGCAAAATTGTGAGTGAGCCTACTCCCTTGGCTGAGAAGCAACCCCACACATGAATGGTGTCAGGATGCTTTACTGTTGGCATGACACAAGACTGATGGTAGCACTCACCTTGTCTTCTCCGGACAAGGTGTTTTCCAGATGCCCCAAACAATCAGAAAGGGGATTCATCAGAGAAAATGACTTTACCCCAGTCCTCAGCAGTCCAATCCCTGTACCTTTTGCAGAATATCAGTCTGTCCCTGATGTTTTTCCTAGAGAGAAGTGGCTTCTTTGCTGCCCTTCTTGACACCAGGCCATCCTCCAAAAGTCTTCGCCTCACTGTGCGTGCAGATGCACTCACACCTGCCTGCTGCCATTCCTGAGCAAGCTCTGCACTGGTGGTGCCCTGATCCCGCAGCTGAATCAACTTTAGGAGACGGTCCTGGCGCTTGCTGGACTTTCTTGGGCACCCTGACGCCTTCTTCACAACAATTGAACCTCTCTCCGTTGAAGTTCTTGATGATCCGATAAATGGTTGATTTAGGTGCAATCTTACCAGCAGCAATATCCTTGCCTGTGAAGCCCTTTTTGTGCAAAGCAATGATGACGGCACGTGTTTCCTTGCAGGTAACCATGGTTAACAGAGGAAGAACAATGATTTCAAGCACCACCCTCCTTTTAAAGCTTCCACTCTGTTATTCTAACTCAATCAGCATGACAGAGTGATCTCCAACCTTGTCCTCGTCAACACTCTCACCTGTGTTAACGAGAGAATCACTGACATGTTGGCAGCTGGTCCTTTTGTGGCAGGGCTGAAATGCAGTGGAAATGTTTTTTGGGGATTAAGTTCATTTTCATGGCAAAGAGGAACTTTTCACTCTTCATGACATTCTGGAGTATATGCAAATTGCCATCATCAAAACTGAGGCAGCAGACTTTGTGAAAATTAGTATTTGTGTCATTCTCAAAACTTTTGACCACGACTGTAGAGTGTGTGCCTGTGCGTGAGTATGTGTGCGAGTGTCCTTGCCCTCTTGGGCTCCGTTATCTTCCCACAGCACTTATCGACCTTGGCTAATTGCCTCATTAAACTTCACCTAGACTCTCCTACTACCTGTCCCTCCTGGAGTTCATTTATATGCGTATAGGTCTATTAGGTCATGCAGATGAATTCATTCCAGTTGTCGGGGAGGGGCAGACCTTACTTAGGATTTGGGTGTTATTTTTTACTATAAGGTGGTGTACCGTGACCCTTACATGTAGCAGTCAACATAAACCATACCAAAGCTGCAGTAGCACAGCCAAAGACAACAGAAAAGGGCTGTCTTTACTTACTGTAGGAATGTCTGCTTGTCAATGAGCTGCATTGTTTCAATAGCTGTATAGTTCTTAAGATCTACAAGTCCTTTTAGAAGAGCAGAACTGTTATGCTTACATGTTCATTACTTCAGTTCTTATACTTTAAAGTTTTTGATCTTGGATCAGTTCCATACAACGTTAATCATTATGATGTAAAAGGCGAAACTGATCCTAGATCAGCACTCCTATTAGGGCCGGGACGATACCAGTACCGCGATACTTGTTCGTACCGTGGCAAGGAAACAAAACACGAAGTGGATTTAACTTCTTTAGGAAAACAGTCCTAATGTTGGAAACAAACATCATTATGTTGTCATACAGAGTCACATTTATTTATTTTGTAAGCTATAGCACACAATAGTTTACATAAAGCAGGTTTTTAAAGGACCAAAGAGTTAGATCTGCTTCGTGTTTTCATTTATGCCATGGAAAAAAATATTGCGATACTGGTATCGTCCCAGCCCTAACACATACTCTGAGAGGCTTTGTGGGTATGGGCCCAGGTCGGCATAGTTATGTGCACCTGATTTCACACCCCTTTACCCAAATTCAATTTGATTAACTTCGCTTCACTCAGACGAGTCGCATCATAAACTCGAGCGCTGGATAATATCACAGGATTTGATTCACACCAGTGCTACCACACTGACTCCTCACCTCCTTTGTTCTTGAAGTACTCGGTGTCTTTCCACATGAGTGGGATCCGCAGGTCTGCAATGGCAAAGGACAGTCAGTCAGACGAGTGAAATCCGCCAAATGTAACATATACTCGCACAAGCACGTACACACACACACACACACCCACGCAGGTAAGTACATGCACGTACACACACACACACACACACTCAGGTCGAGAGGTAGAAGACCCCTGACCTTTTATATCCTCCCACCAGGCAGTCACTGTCATACTCGGTGTGTGATCTATGTGTGTGTGCCTACCTGTGTGTCTGTGTGTGCTTGTGTGTGATGCATTTGTGTATGCCTTTGTGCTGAGCCACTAGCTGAATGGCTTCCTGTCTACTTAGTCAATCAATGATACATCACAACCTCTGTGTGTGCCCTCCAGCTGTGAGCAGTCCCAGACACACAGATAGACAGACAGCCCCCCCTGTCCTCTTGTCCTCCCACTGAGCCAGAGCAGTTCATCATAATCCTTTAATTACCTCTTTCACTGAAACCCCCCATTCCCCCCTCATCACCCCCTCATTCTCTCCCCCTCACCCCCAACCTATTCCTCCCTAATTCTACCCCCCTTTCACCCTCACCCCCTATCCCACCCTTACCCCCCCTGAATTCCACCCCCCAATACCCTCCCCCCCTCCATATCCGAAGGGGGGGGGGGGGGGGTCCTCATTGGATGTTCGCATGTCGCCATGGACACGGCCAATAATGAGGAAATGACACATGGCGTAATATGGGAGGAGGAGGCAGGGTATCAGGGCCTGAGGCTGATGAACTGGACTACATGGAGCTCAGCTATTGGGTAGACATGAGGACCTGGTCTCTCTCTAGCTGTCTGTCGCAGAATATCTCTCTCTTTCACATATGTACACACACGCATGCACATCACCGGGGCCTACCTGAGATGGCCACCTTTCCCTTACAGGGTAGTCTGTCGTCCATGGGCCCTGCGTCTGATGACCTAGGAGAGACAGAAATAGGGGGGTGACAACAATGGAAATTTTAATTGTAAACCCTACCCGATTGCCAACCCAGACCATATTAAGACATTCACCCTATGGGGATAGTTGCATTTACACGGCGATAAATTCCTAACGTAAGTTCCTCAGTTCCTACCCAGCCCAATACCTAGCTCCCTTGCCCCTTGCCTTTTGCCATCTGACCTTTGTGCGACCCTCTGCATGACCTGGGCCTCCTTCATCCTCTGCAGCTCTGACATGTAGGCCATGATGCGGGTGTTGCAGGTGAGCAGGCTCTTGGCTGCCTCCAGGGCCTGGTCTCTCTGGGAGCAGGCAGCCAGCAGCTTACAGGCCCCGTCACGCATCCGGATCTCATGGTCTATCTTTTTCTGGATGTCACTGTCCTACAGGCAGAGAGAGAGAGAGTGGTTAGAGATGGTGCTGACTGGAATAGGTTTGGTCTTCGAGTGTGGAGTGAGACTGTAAGAAGAAGGACCGGGTAAGAGTGACATTTCATTTTTAAATGTAAGACAATGACTGTGAGTAAGAGCGTGAGTTATGTGCCACGTCTGTGTGTATGAGAGAGAAAGAGAGGACACAAGTGTGTGTGGGTATGTGCAGGCCAGATGAAGCCCTCTCATGGGTCCATTAGTGGGGCATGCCCTTGAAAGCATTCTGGTGTCTCTGTGCGGTGAGGCGTGGGTCGGTCAGGGCACAGAGGCTAGTCAGGCAGAAGCTGTAAATATGCCCTTGTGCCCTTCTGAGTCCCCCTCCGTGGCACGCAGACACGAAGATGCTGAATCATTTAACACCTCCCTGCGCGCACAGTACACACACACACACATGTGCACACACACACACATGTGTGCACACACACACAGGTGCGCGCGCAGACGCACACCCTTTGGGAGCAGCTCACCCAGAAGGAGGGCGTCGAGAGTGGAACTGTCAAAACAGCGGAGCCCTGTATTACACCATGAGAGACCCCAGACATTAACACCCAGACACACCCCTCAGCCCCAACCCACGAACCCCTTCCATCACAATTTTGGAAAAAAACATGTGAATCTGACGTGGCTTATCTACAACAAGAAAGGCATGATTTAAACAGAGCCCAAATCACTGCAACACACTTCATGCTGCCAGCAGAATGCCAACACAGAGAGCAAGAGATGAAGAGAACGAGCCACATAAAACAGAGAGACAATGAAATAGGTGAAAACACAAATAGGACTCGTCTCTTTGCATGTTTAATTCTGTACCGAGGATCCCCTCATAACATTTCTTCTACTTTTCTCGGGTTTTGGAAGTAGTCCCAGCTACTGACCTCCCCTGTTGCTATGACAACCACCCACATCTCATCCGCTGCTCTGTATCCATTAAACATGCTTAATATGAAACGCTCGCACGCTTCTGTCTCTCGCACTCAATCGCTTTGTTATTCCACTCAAAGTGATAACGGTCTTATAGACCTCCCTCTCAACTTCAAACCCACTTGATTTTCTTATCTCGCTCTCTCTGTCTCTCTCTCTCTCTCTCAAGCCATTCCACTCCATTGTCTTCAAATAGCCTTCTGTCTTACTCTCTTCTCCTCCCATCCATCCATCCCAAACAGAGCACTGCAAAGGACAGTGGGGTGGATGGGAGTGAATGTGGCTTGGACTCATTTGCCTACATGTGGAGTCATTTTGGCGCTTTGGATCCAGTGGTTTCATGCATTCTGGCCCACAGCTCTCTCATGGCAGTAACAGAGACATGGGTTGTATTGGGTAAACTAATATGCCCTTTGAACAAATAGCACAGCTTAGTACAAAACCTCACTGGCTTGACATGGTGGTGAAAGCTAAATACACTAATAGCTCTAAATCAAACACATCCAAATACATTGTCTCCAGCCAAACCAAGCAGGCTAAAGCTGTGGGCCTACACCAATATTGTTTTAATACAGCCATTTGGGTCAAGAGTACAGTAATACATTATTATCAATTCAATCATCTCCAAAAACAATGACATATCTTAACGTCCAAAGTGGTTGTAAAGTCTAATAGATTTCTCCATATGGAATACTGTCAGAGCAACATGTTTGAGCCTGATAAAGAATATTTAAATTGTTAAAGAGGGGACTGAGGATGCTAACCTGACCTTGGTGAATCTGACAGCTAGTCACCTTCAACATGCAAAATCATATGCACAAATTGTATATATTGATTTTAGTTCAGCTTTCAATGCAATGCAAATAAACACACTGCTGAAACGACTACTGGACCTGAATGTCATCGGAGGCCTCGCAGGTTGGATCAAGGACTTTTTAACTGACCAGCCACAGAGGGTTCTCATGAATGGGGCCCTCTCTGATAAACTGACCCTGAACACAGGGGCGCCCCAGGGGTGTGTCCTTTCACCGTTGTTGTTCTCTATCTACACTAACGAGATGAAGATCCAAGGAAACAATGTGAGCCTTTTCAAGTACGTGGATGACATGGCTCTGATGGGACTCTTTTCTTAAGACACTACGTCCGATGGGGACAGCTATTTCATAGCGGGCCAACAACCTTCAAGAATGGTGCCGGTCATGTGCCACATCAATGTGGACAAGACAAAGGAGCTGATCATCAATGGCAACAACATGTCAATGTCCCAACCACTCTCTCTGAACGACCAACCAGTGGAGGTGGTTGAGTATTTAAAATACCTAAGGACACAAATTGATGACAAGCTGAGCTTTACAGAGAATGGAGAAAAAAATGTTTTAAGCAAGCCAGCGCATGTTTTCAAATCAGGAAATTGAAGGGGTTTGGGGTCAGCCAGGATGTTCTGGAGAGGGTGTAGAGCAGCTTGGTGGAGAGCATCCTCACGTTCAATATGACAGTCTGGTATGGTCATCTGAGCCTGAGGAGCAAAAGCAAACTAACCAGAATAGCAAACACAGCCAGCAAAGTAATTGGTCGACCACAGGCACAGCTGAGCAGTCAAAAGGAAGGCGCTGGCTGTCGTTGGCGACCCTTCCCACCCGCTACACCCTCAGTTGGAGAGGCTTCCCTCTGGCCTGCGCCTCAGAATGCCCATGGCTAAGAAGAATGTGTTCAAACATTGATTCGTTCCTTGTGCTGTTGGACGACTAAATGCAACGTAAATTGTATCGGTATATGCACATCTATTTATCTATTGTAACAGTTAAGTTGGGGCAGCGGTCAGTTGTGGGTAAATGTATCAATGTCCTCTATGTGCAGTATGATGGACTGTTTAAAATGTGTGTGATGTGAGAATGTATGTGATCCTTTTAATGTAAGATGATACCAAAGAAAAATGTCCATTCTGGATGGACAATAAAGTTTTATTCTATTCTATTAAAGATGCCTAGGCCAGACGTGATATATATGCATGCATACACTGCTATAGTGGTAAACGCAGGAGCAGAGCTGAATTGCTGACATGAAGTGAACAAAGCATCAATATACCTTCATCTTCCTATAAGCTTCTGATCAAAGGGGGAAAGCAGAACAACACTACAGAAGGAATTTTAGGCAGCAGTGTGTGTGTCTATGTGTGATTTTATGTCCGTTTGTGTAGTCAAAGTGTGTGTATAAGAGTGTTTTTGTGTGTGTTTAGAGACAGGGAGGAAAGGGAATTGAGTGTACCCATAGGACCAAAGCAGGAAGTCTAACCATGTATGTGTGCTGTTATTGGATTCAACTCAACTGACATCACAAAAAACAAATTCCATTGCATGAGTCAGTTATCATTTGAATGAACATTCTACATTACCAAGGAAATTATTGGATCACAATACCAGGCACCCATTGTGAGTGTACCCATGAGTTTACCAGTCAAATTTCCTGGGTTAGCATTGTCTCACATCAAATGGCGTCACTACTCCAACTCGCTTGTTCCTGTCTTGTAAGACATGGAACTCATATTCAAAATTGTCGGTAAATGGTAGTGGAAACGTCTTTATGTGCAAATTCTGATATAATAACCATCAAATCAAAGTAAACTTGGAGTTACACTATGATATGTTGTGTGGTCCTCCCACTACGACTCGGGAAAGCATGCAGTTTATTAGGTTACAGATGAAATAAGTTATGATGAACTTCACAGGGTGGTGAAATTGAACGGTGATCTTTGATGCTCCTTTCCAATAAATATCGAGGGTCTTATTCTGGTGACATGATGATCGATGCTTGACTGCGGTTTGACAAATACAAATATTCCCGCTCTTATGTTATGGCAGCCCATTGTAGCCAGACTACTTTTCATCTATCCCATTACCCTTTGCGAGATACGCGACAGATCAGTGCAGACTGAATTGAAGCGCTATCTGATGTAAAACAATGCAGGGTTAAAGGTTCCAAGCCCATTCTAATCATTCTATTTCTATGTGTGCTGCTGCTGCAGGGAGGGGGGGGGGGGGGTGTTGCCTAGGCAACCAAAGACTTGTTTGCTACAACACCTTGCTTGTTGCAGCAAGGAGCAACAAAGTTTCATAACGTTGTAAAGAGTCCATGTTGTCCATGTTACGCAGAAACGGACTCGACTTCACAAATGTCCGGCCGTCCTGTCTTCAGTCAGCTGTTCGCCCCCCCAAAAAAGAGAAAATAAAACGGTTATGATGGTTATTTTAATGACGGTCTTCATCCATAACCATCGGTTATACGGTAATAGTGCCACCCCTATGTGGGGGTATGACTGTGTAGTATACTCTATGTGTGTCCTTATCTTCTACAGTACTACGTAGCATACACCGGTGAACCTGCGGATCTAGCCCATGTGTAGTACAGGAACTGTGCTGCTCCCCTTCCATGCCAGTCGGGTTCACTGTAGCCTATTTATAGAGAGGAAATTAACAGCCTTCTCCTCCGGGGCTTTCCCAAAATGAGACGTTCAACCTAGTTCTGCTATTAATCCCCCTCCGTGCCACCGCCAGACGGACACACCCACACACACAAATGTACACACGAATGAACGAATGCACGCGCACACAGCAAAGCATGTTCAAGCTCTCCTCTGGCATTCTAACAGGGATAAGGTCTATCTGAGGAGTGTGATGAAGTATGATATCTACAGTAGATACTATATCTAAACTGTGATGTGTTTGGGCTTCAGAGATGAAGTCTGCCCACTAACAACCAATTGTTTTCCCCCACTACTGCTTCTAATATAAAAACAGCTTTATCATCATTATCAACTTACAAGCTGAGGCTGAACGCACAAAGGACAACATTATACACACAAAAGAGCAAACCTAACACCACACAGACACTCAGAGTTATTTTCAGACCACCCCATTTTTATGCCTGGTGTCAATACAGTGCCCCATGCCAGGGTGCCAGTCAGTGGCAGTGAGAGTGAGTGCAAGATGGGAGTGTGTTGGATGTGAGACAGTGAAAGAGAGCGAGAAGATGGAGGGGTGAGGGGGCAGCGGGGTTACAGTGACCAGCCGGATCCCAGGTAATGAAGCGTGAGTGTTGAAAACGAGCCCAGATTGGAATAATTGAGGAAGAAGGAATCTTCCTGTCTGTCTGTGCGGGTTAAAGGGACGGACAGGAGACAAATGGGTGTGTGTGTGTGTGTGTGTGTGTGCTGCTGATCCCCTGGTGGAAGTAGGGTGTTGGCAGCCTCTCTGTGATCTGTGTAATTAGTATGCTGTGTGGGGCCTGGGTCTTCACACTGGGGATTTCACACCGCCTTGTTTACGTTGTGTTGTTCTGCTTGGTTAGGCTTCGTCTCTGACCCCGGACCCCTACCCAGGGTCATGGACTATCGACTCTCCAACCCCAGATGGTATGAAAATCTGGATACCGCCCAAGCCTAGTGTGTGTGCATGCATGTCTTTATGTGTGTGTGTTTGTGTGTGATTGTAGTAGGGAGATGGAAATAGAAAGGTTGTGTTTGTTTGTGAGCCTACAGTGTCAGCGTGTCTTTGAATGTGTTACGGGGACACGTGTTCGTGGGAGGAAATCCAGGTTAGCTGCAGAGCCCAGACGGCTCACCCTGAATAAAGACTAGTACTGTGAGGTCACTTCCTGCCCTCGCTGCCTGAGTATACTGTCTGTCTGTCGCATAAGCCCTTACTTACCAAGAAGAGGGAGAGAGAGCGAGAGAGGGATGAGTGGGGGCAAGAGGAGTGACAGCAAGGAAAGCAGCACCAGTATATTGAGCCTAACCCACTGCTGTAGGGGGAGGGTTAACATTATAGAGTTAATCACAGAGGCACAGGACTGGGGAGCTGTGAAAGAGACCCTTACACTATGAGCTACATAGACATCCTCATTCGCTAACCATCTGCACCAGCTTGTTTTTGGTCACAGGTCCAGGAATGGCTGAAGGATTGCAATATTTACCTGGAGCTAACCCTGCAGATAGCACTACTGGGTGATCTGAAAAGTCATAGTCAATCAATCAATAATATAATAATACTTTTAGCAAAAATGTTTATTTTCAATTTACAATCTGTAGAAACAATGAGAATAGAAGGGTTCAGAACTTTTGTGAAACATCACAGTACAGTTGAAAAATATATGGCAAATAGAAATCCAATATGGATGTGGCGTTAAGAGATAGATGGGAGGTGTTGAATGGAGCTGAAGAATGGGACTAATAACAACTAACAACAACTAATAACAACAAGATAACTAATGTAAAGCATACTGTGTCCATAATAAGTATATAGGTTATAGGTTGAGAGCTTTTGTGAAAGAGCTCAGTTAGAAAGATATGGCATATAGAAGCAAACCGGATGGACATCATGAAAATGATCGGAGAGGTTGAGGGTAAAGGAAGTTCAGGAGTAAAAATAAACAAAATATAATTATTGTAAAATTGACTGTGTCCATAAAATGTATGTAGTATGTATAATCTGGAAGAAGAGGCCTAAGCGTTGTTGTTCACTAGTTTACTCCAATTAGGGGAGGGGTGGTGGGGTTGTAAAGTAATAAAGGGAAAAATATATTTTTTAAAGGATACGTTTTTCCTATTTTGTTGCATTACAACCTGTAATTTAAATGGATTTTTATTTGGATTTCATGTAATGGACATACACAAAATAGTTCAAATTGGTGAAGTGAAATGAAAAAAATAACTTGTTTCAAAAAATTCTACAAAATTAATTACGGAAAAGTGATGCGTGCATATGTATTCACCCCCTTCGCTATGAAGCCCCTAAATAAGATATGGTGCAACCAATTACCTTCAGAAGTCACATAATTAGTTAAATAAAGTCCACCTGTGTGCAATCTAAGTGTCACATAATCTGTCACATGATCTCAGTATATATACACCTGTTCTGAAAGGCCCCAGAGTCTGCAACACCACTAAGCAAGGGGCACCACCAAGCAAGCGGCACCATGAAGACCAAGGAGCGCTTCAAACAGGTCAGGGACAAAGTTGTGGAGAAGTCCAGATCAGGGTTGGGTTATAAAAAAATATCAGAAACTTTGAACATCCCACGGAGCACCATTAAATCCATTATTAAAAATGGAAAGAATATGGAACCACAACAAACCTGCCAAAAGAGGGCCTCCCACCAAAACTCACGGACCAGGCAAGGAGGGCATTAATCAGAGGCAACAAAGAAACCAAAGATAACCCTGAAGGAGCTGCAAAGCTCCACAGCGGAGATTGGAGTATCTGTCCATTGGACCACTTCAAGCCGTACACTCCACAGAGCTGGGCTTTACGGAAGAGTGGCCAGAAAAAAGCCATTGCTTAAAGAAAAAAAATTTGTAAACACGTTTGGTGTTCGCCTAAAGGCATGTGGGAGACTCCCCAAACATATGGAAGAAGGTACTCTGGTCAGATGAGCTAAAATTGAGCTTTTTGGCCATCAAGGAAAACGGTATGTCTGGCGCAAACCCAACACCTCTCATCACCCCGAGAACACCATCCCCACAGTGAAGCATGGTGGTGGCAGCATCATGCTGTTGGGATGTTTTTCATCGGCAGGGACTGGGAAACTGGTCAGAATTGAAGGATGGTGCTAAATACAGGGAAATTCTTGAGGGAAACCTGTTTCAGTCTTCCAGAGATTTGAGACTGGGACGGAAGTTCACCTTCCAGCAGGACAATGACCCTAAGCATACTGCTAAAGCTACACTCGAGTGGTTTAAAGGGAAACATTTAAATGTCTTGGAATGGCCTAGTCAAAGTCCAGACCTCAATCCAATTGAGAATCTGTGGTATGACTTAAAGATTGCTGTACACCAACGAAACCCATCCAACTTGAAGGAGCTGGAGCAGTTTTGAAGAATGGGTAAAAATCTCAGTGGCTAGATGTGCCAAGCTTATAGAGACATACCCCAATAGACTTGCAGCTGTAATTGCTGCAAAAGGTGGCTCTACAAAGTATTGACTTTGGGGGGGGGGGGGGGGGTGTGAATACTTATGCACACTCAAGTTCAGTTTTTTTGTCTTATTTCTTGTTTGTTTCACCCCCCAAAATATTTTGCATCGTCAAAGTGGTAGGCATGTTGTGTAAATCAAATGATACAAACCCCCAGAAAATCAATTTTAATTCCAGGTTGTAAGGCAACAAAATAGGAAAAATGCCAAAGGGGGTGAATACTTTCGCAAGCCACTGTATGTATATATATATATATATATATATATATTTTTGCGTGGGAAAAAATAATATGAGGGATTGGAAGTGATGCAGACAATTACTTTGATGGAAGTTACAATCTATCTGCAATATTAAAGCTGATCTACCCTCTAAAAATAAATCAAAAATTTACAAATCTAAAATAAAATAAAACATCTGCACCAATCAGCATCGAGTAAACAAGCAGTCCTCTTTAAAATAATGTAGTGTTAATTTTTCATATAGCAAAATCTGTCATTGACACCCAAAGGAACACACACACAGATTCTCACACACACCCAGACAAAACACCAAACGCATACCACTCCCATTCATCAGGGTTTTAGTGACCAAAGCTAGCTGGCTTTTAATTAGTCAGCCACAACTATGCGTCTGCCCACTCCACCCAAATCCCTTCCTCTTTCTCCCTCTCTCCCACACCCGGGGCATGTCTGTGGTGGAGGGTTGGGCAGGGCCGGGAGAGGCCCCAGGGAGCTGTGGGATGTGGTCACGAGGGGCGAGAGTAACGTACATTAACACACAAAACAAGGGCCCGTGTCTCTCTCGTTCACTCTCAATCTCAAACACGCACAGTCACACACTATAGTTTCATGACATGCACAAAAACAGCCTCAGACTTTGTCTGTCTGTCCATCCCTCATACAAAGAGAGACATAGCCTATGCTGCCATATACACTACAGAGGTACACAAACAAACACAGGTTCCACCAAATGCAAATATACAACGCAAACATTAAAATGAACCCACATGAATATCTTGTTCAGGAGTAGGGCATACTGTAGTGGTTTGGTTCTGGCACCGGGGGTTAGGTGGCAAGGCAGTTATTGGGTGGGGTGTTTGTGTGCCTCCATTAATGAGAGCAACACGGTCACAAAGCGGTCCAACCACGGTCCGGGCCAAGGCACATACTTCTCCCCCAAGGCTGAATGTGTTTCCTAGGCTACTGCCAGAGCTCTGATGTCACCAGGGCCTGAACGGACTCCACAGTGTTCTGACGGTGGAAAGCCAGAGGCCTTTGTCCTAATACAGATAGAACTGAACAGAACTGAACACAACCCGTGACCATCAAATGTATTCAATTATTCACAAACAATGGACTGTTATAGTTCTACGTGGGGCAGTGTGTGTGTGTGTGTGTGTGTGTGTGTGTGTGTGTGTATGTGTGTCGGGGGGGAGTATGACATGCAGTGTGTGACTCTGACTCTGCAGCCAGCTGTTCTCACACAAAGGCGCTGAGTGTTCCAGTGCAGCTGAGCCCCAGCTCAGAGGGGGGCGGTGTGTGTGTAAATGGTATATGGAGCATAGCTACATCCTTTTACATAGCACTGTCCATTCTTTGAAAATAGTATGCTGCTAGCTGGGGGTGGGATTCATGGTGGTGTTGGTGCGTGTGTGTGTGTGTGTGGCAGGGTTTCCGTTAGCTGGTAATAGCTGGTAATAGCCTGCTTTTAGCTGAAGCCGATCAATAAAATTGGCTCCAGCCAATTGTCCGGGAAAAGAAGAAAAAATCTGATTGCGAAATAATGCTTTTTAGCCTATTCAATGATGGAAATACCAATAGAGGAAAATACATTTGACTGGTCATGCTTATTAAATTGGCGCGTGTACAGTATATTTGTTATGTATCTTATTTATCACACACGTACAGCATACAAATACAGAGCCTTTGAGCGGAAAGTCTGTCAGCATCTCAAACAGAAAATGCATAGACAATGGAAGGCAGGCTTCATCAGCGTGTCACACACCCCTTTGCAATGAGCTGGAGGCAGTATGCATTTTGAAAATGTATATATTTAATTGTTTGAAACCTGAACGTTTTAATACATATTATGAGGAATGTCTTACCTTGCTTCAAAGTAGTCTGACGAGTCAATTACACAGGCCTAGTACCCCTAGTTAGGGCTGTTACGGTGACCGTATTACCGCCACACTGGCGGTCACGAGTCATGACGGCAGTCAAATTCCACGTGACCGTTTAGTCACAGTAATTAGGCTTCTCCAAGCTCTGATGCTGCTGCTGGTCATTAGTAGCCTACCAAACTTGCTAACTGCCTGGTACTCAGCACTCTATTGTCCCTCTAATCACTCTGACATCAATGCAAGTGTGTGAGAAAACAGACTGCTGGCCTCTATTAAAAAGAGGGGTATCCCATCAGCTTTCTATAGGCTAGGCCTACTATATTTATTTCTCAACTTTCCTAACATTAAGCACATTGCTTCTCTTTAAAACAGGAGTATAGCCTACCTGGCTGGCATGAAAATGAACCACTGAAAAGTGTCCTCCATTTGCTATTTAAGTGTATAGATGACATGTTTTTTTTTTCCCGCTGCCCCTGTTTTGAGGCAGGTGCATGATAATGGTCCATTCTAAATCAAAACAAATTTCACACATATATTATTTAGTATATGTAAAGACAAGATTAAATCAAGAATAGTGTCATGGGGTGACAATATTAGCCTATAACTTGTGAGTGGCCAAATAACTTCTTAAAATTAGGGAATTATAATGATTATATTCAGCCCAAGGGCACAACGGCCACTGGCCGCAAAAGGCATGGATTTTTTTAAGGGGCATGACAGCCACACGAAAGGGATGCAGCCAGGAAATTCGAGGCATTATCATGTGCTTGTCAAATTGTGAATGAGAGACTGGTGAAGTGTGTACAGCCTGTGAAAAAAACAAAGCAGAGCTCATGTCTTTCATGTGACTTTTTTCAAATCATCATTAGTCACATCATGCAGCCTTAGAATGTATTAAAAAACAAAACATATAGCCCAACATTTGTATCACAACTAAAATTACATAAATAACTATAAATTAAGCATATAGGAGTACCTGTTTCTTTGTTAACCGCTCAACACAGAATAGCTGCATGTGCGCACTCCCTCAAATCATTTGGAGAAAATATCCTTTCTATTTTCTTTAGCTATATTCAATTGTATTCTTCATACTATAAAATAATGCCACAGAATTCTGAGCAAATCTTGTCTGCTAAATGAACTAGTGTAGCCCACAGACATATAGCATAGCCAGATCAGGGCCTAACATAAGGACAACTCAGAGTATGGTATTCTGTTATTCTGAAATAGACTACATTTTCTTCATATTATGCTTCTTTAGACCTGTCTAAAATAAATAAGGGATGTATTGTGATGATGTAGGCTATATTACATGGATTTACTATACTTTTTTAAAATGTAGATATTTCAAAGGCTATGCGTGGAAGCCAGGAGATGCTAAATGTGTTTATGTTAATTATCGTTCAATTACCGTGAGACTGGCAATCACCAGCTGACAAAATTTCATGACCGCCACAGTCCTACCCCTAGTACCTCAAAAAGTTTAATCGAAGCTCAGGTTTTCAGTTGTGAGGGTTGACTAAAAGAAGTAGGCTCAGCGAGAAGATACTGAACTTGACAAATTAATTCATTGGCGTGCACATTGAGGGTGTTAACTCCAGATTCTTTGAATTAGATTCCGGTTTGGCTGTAAACCCGTCTCTCAGCTGGATCAGACGTCACATCAACACACATCCACATAGCTAGAGGACCAAAATGATCTGTCACAATGCAAGGGAAAGCTTTTGGTCCTTCATCGAAACCAGCTTTGAGACACACAGACAAGTAAAAGGCATGGACTTTCAATTATTGCTAGCGTGCGTGATAGAACATTGACGCTGGAGTCTGGGCATTCTTGTGTGTGTGTGTGTGTGTGCGCATGTGTGTGTCTGCGTGTGTGGTCTCAGCACACAGCAGACCCAAAGATAAGTGTGTGGTCCTGAGAACGCTGTACATGACCTGCAGGGTACTACTCTATAATGGTAACACCGAGACAGGAAGTCCAGTAATACAACATTCCTCTTTCTCCTGCCTTTCTTTCTCTTATCATCTCCTTCCCTTCATCTGCACTAATCTGAAATAACTGGACAGGTTCTGTGCTTCTACATCTGCATTGCTTGCTGTTTGGGGTTTTAGGCTGGGTTTCTGTATAGCACTTTGTGACATCTGCTGATGTAAAAAGGGCTTTATAAATAACATTTGATTGATTGATTGATTGATTGATTGATTGAGGTAAAAGGAAATAACCTGTAGGATTCAACCACATTGCTTTCACCTACCCCATATTCTCAGATCTCTGTAAATGAAGGGAAGGACCCAAAGAGAGGAAGCCACATTGGACTATTGAGATGCACCCAGAGAAACCAAGCAGGATTTTGAAGATTGTGCAACCCTGGGAGAACTAGCTGCTCTGGAACATACCTCCAAAAACAGAGAGAGAATGAGTGAAATGTGTGAGGATGAATACAATTGAGATAAGCCTGAACAAAAATAAATAAAAATTAAAATTAAAAAATTAAACAAATCGGCCAGCTCTGATCCAATGAGACGGGTGAACAGTCTGTACTCCATGACGTTCCATCACCTGCCAATCTCACAGGAATTGGAAACACCTAATGAGAGTAATTGGCGGAACTGATTGTCTGGGAGCAATTAATTACAAACATACACACACACACACACACACTTAAGACCATTATGCACATCAGAGCGCTTACACACACACGAGCATAATAGACAGCAGAAGAGGCCAGATTATAGACAGTTTTATACTGTAGGTTGGCACAGAGCCACTGGAAGTAGAAGATGGTGCTGCAGTGGATAACGGCCATTTTACGGGCTCCCAACCAATTCTGCTGCTTTGTGTGTGTTTTTTTTACACTGATCGTTACTTTTTTTGTACACAATGTCTTCGCCATCATTTATTTTGACTGAAAACAGCTTCTGGACTTCTACTTCAAAGAGTCAGCAGCTGTGGATGTTCTGCTTACTCCGGTTGGGGTTGGGGAGCAGTCATTTGGATTGGGGTTAGAAGCTGTTAAGGAGCCTTTTGGTCTTAGATTTGGATTATATACAGTACCAGTCAAAGGTTTGGACACAACTACTCATTCAAGGGTTTTTCTTTATTTTTACTATTTTCTACACTGTAGAATAATAGTGAAGACATCAAAACTATGAAATAACACATATGGAATCATGTAGTAACCAGAAAAGTGTTAAACAAATCAAAATATATTTTCAATTTTGTCACACCCTGGCTATGGGACTCTAGTTGTTGAGCCAGGGTGTGTTTGTTCTATGTGGTGTGTTTCTATGTTGGGGGTTCTGGTTTGTTGTTTTCTATGTTTGCCTTAGTGACTCCCAATCAGAGGCAACGAGTGTCAGCTGTTCGTTGGTTGTCTCTGATTGGGAGCCATATTTAAACTGTCTGTTTTTCATTCGGGTTTGTGGGATTTTGTTCCGTTAAGGTTTGTGTTGTGTATAACTTCAGGACGTCACGCATCGTTGTTTATTGTTTTTGTGTCGTGTTCAGTACAAATAAAGTATGTACGCTTATTATGTTGAGATATGTCTGTTCCTTGAACTCTGAAGCATTTATTTGGGCTGCAATTTCTGAGGCTGTTAACTCTAATGAACGTATCCTCTGCAGCAGAGGTAACTCTGGGTCTTCCTT